CGTTAGTATCCTATTGTCCAGGTCTCACGTGAACCATCACACTCATGTCTGTACCGTCTGGCTGTACAGAGCCATCACACTCATGTCTGTACCGTCTGGCTGTACAGAGCCATCACACTCATGTCTGTACCGTCTGGCTGTACAGAGCCATCACACTCATGTCTGTACCGTCTGGCTGTACAGAGCCATCACACTCATGTCTGTACCGTCTGGCTGTACAGAGCCATCACACTCATGTCTGTACCGTCTGGCTGTACAGAGCCATCACACTCATGTCTGTACCGTCTGGCTGTACAGAGCCATCACACTCATGTCTGTACCGTCTGGCTGTACAGAGCCATCACACTCATGTCTGTACTCATGTCTGTACCGTCTGGCTGTACAGAGCCATCACACTCATGTCTGTACCGTCTGGCTGTACAGAGCCATCACACTCATGTCTGTACCGTCTGTCTGGCTGTACGTCTGGAGCCATCACACTCATGTCTGTACCGTCTGGCTGTACAGAGCCATCACACTCATGTCTGTACCGTCTGGCTGTACAGAGCCATCACACTCATGTCTGTACCGTCTGGCTGTACAGAGCCATCACACTCATGTCTGTACCGTCTGGCTGTACAGAGCCATCACACTCATGTCTGTACCGTCTGGCTGTACAGAGCCATCACACTCATGTCTGTACCGTCTGGCTGTACAGAGCCATCACACTCATGTCTGTACCGTCTGGCTGTACAGAGCCATCACACTCATGTCTGTACCGTCTGGCTGTACAGAGCCATCACACTCATGTCTGTACCGTCTGGCTGTACAGAGCCATCACACTCATGTCTGTACCGTCTGGCTGGTCTGGTCTGGCTGTACAGAGCCATCACACTCATGTCTGTACCGTCTGGCTGTACAGAGCCATCACACTCATGTCTGTACCGTCTGGCTGTACAGAGCCATCACACTCATGTCATGTCTGTACATGTCTGTACCGTCTGGCTGTACAGAGCCATCACACTCATGTCTGTACCGTCTGGCTGTACAGAGCCATCACACTCATGTCTGTACCGTCTGGCTGTACAGAGCCATCACACTCATGTCTGTACCGTCTGGCTGTACAGAGCCATCACACTCATGTCTGTACCGTCTGGCTGTACAGAGCCATCACACTCATGTCTGTACCGTCTGGCTGTACAGAGCCATCACACTCATGTCTGTACCGTCGTCTGGCTGTACAGAGCCATCACACTCATGTCTGTACCGTCTGGCTGTACAGAGCCATCACACTCATGTCTGTACCGTCTGGCTGTACAGAGCCATCACACTCATGTCTGTACCGTCTGGCTGTACAGAGCCATCACACTCATGTCTGTACCGTCTGGCTGTACAGAGCCATCACACTCATGTCTGTACCGTCTGGCTGTACAGAGCCATCACACTCATGTCTGTACCGTCTGGCTGTACAGAGCCATCACACTCATGTCTGTACCGTCTGGCTGTACAGAGCCATCACTGTACCGTCTGGCTCATGTCTGTACCGTCTGGCTGTACAGAGCCATCACACTCATGTCTGTACCGTCTGGCTGTACAGAGCCATCACACTCATGTCTGTACCGTCTGGCTGTACAGAGCCATCACACTCATGTCTGTACCGTCTGGCTGTACAGAGCCATCACACTCATGTCTGTACCGTCTGGCTGTACAGAGCCATCACACTCATGTCTGTACCGTCTGGCTGTACAGAGCCATCACACTCATGTCTGTACCGTCTGGCTGTACAGAGCCATCACACTCATGTCTGTACCGTCTGGCTGTACAGAGCCATCACACTCATGTCTGTACCGTCTGGCTGTACAGAGCCATCACACTCATGTCTGTACCGTCTGGCTGTACAGAGCCATCACACTCATGTCTGTACCGTCTGGCTGCCATACAGAGCCTGGCTGTACAGAGCCATCACACTCATGTCTGTACCGTCTGGCTGTACAGAGCCATCACACTCATGTCTGTACCGTCTGGCTGTACAGAGCCATCACACTCATGTCTGTACCGTCTGGCTGTACAGAGCCATCACACTCATGTCTGTACCGTCTGGCTGTACAGAGCCATCACACTCATGTCTGTACCGTCTGGCTGTACAGAGCCATCACACTCATGTCTGTACCGTCTGGCTGTACAGAGCCATCACACTCATGTCTGTACCGTCTGGCTGTACAGAGCCATCACACTCATGTCTGTACCGTCTGGCTGTACAGAGCCATCACACTCATGTCTGTACCGTCTGGCTGTACAGAGCCATCACACTCATGTCTGTACCGTCTGGCTGTACAGAGCCATCACACTCATGTCTGTACCGTCTGGCTGTACAGAGCCATCACACTCATGTCTGTACCGTCTCTCTGTACGTACCATCACACTCATGTCTGTACCGTCTGGCTGTACAGAGCCATCACACTCATGTCTGTACCGTCTGGCTGTACAGAGCCATCACACTCATGTCTGTACCGTCTGGCTGTACAGAGCCATCACACTCATGTCTGTACCGTCTGGCTGTACAGAGCCATCACACTCATGTCTGTACCGTCTGGCTGTACAGAGCCATCACACTCATGTCTGTACCGTCTGGCTGTACAGAGCCATCACACTCATGTCTGTACCGTCTGGCTGTACAGAGCCACACACTCATGCCTGTACCGTCTGGCTGTACAGAGCCATCACACTCATGTCTGTACCGTCTGGCTGTACAGAGCCATCACACTCATGTCTGTACCGTCTGGCTGTACAGAGCCATCACACTCATGTCTGTACCGTCTGGCTGTACAGAGCCATCACACTCATGTCTGTACCGTCTGGCTGTACAGAGCCATCACACTCATGTCTGTACCGTCTGGCTGTACAGAGCCATCACACTCATGTCTGTACCGTCTGGCTGTACAGAGCCATCACACTCATGTCTGTACCGTCTGGCTGTACAGAGCCATCACACTCATGTCTGTACCGTCTGGCTGTACAGAGCCATCACACTCATGTCTGTACCGTCTGGCTGTACAGAGCCATCACACTCATGTCTGTACCGTCTGGCTGTACAGAGCCATCACACTCATGTCTGTACCGTCTCTGGCTGTACAGAGCCATCACACTCATGTCTGTACCGTCTGGCTGTACAGAGCCATCACACTCATGTCTGTACCGTCTGGCTGTACAGAGCCATCACACTCATGTCTGTACCGTCTGGCTGTACAGAGCCATCACACTCATGTCTGTACCGTCTAGCTGTACAGAGCCATCACACTCATGCCTGTACCGTCTAGCTGTACAGAGCCATGAACACAATCGACCTTGACATTCAAATTGTCGAAAACATCCTCGGCTCGTGTCCGGAAACTGTGGCATGCTTTGTTTTCATCATGAGTATGGTCATGTTCACAACATAATCATCAGACTAATAAATGTGTGTAACATTCACATTAACGTCACTGGGGCCTTTACGTTATCGAACTACGCCTTACCTTTACAGATCAGGGATAGGTGGCAATTATTGTCTGACATTCTTATGAGGGCATCAAAACTATGAATTTCTTGTTTCTTCCAATCACCAACACCAAAATAATATATCACGGGTTTAGTATTTGTGATTTGTTACTTTATTGCAGGTGTTCAGCTCTAAACTACATTTGCATTCTGCCAGAAGTTTGTCCTTTATATGGGCATTCGTTAGTTTGCCTCGAACCTCCATCCCTAAGTAGGTCTGACCTTCCGCGAGATGCTCAACAAGTCCGCCCAGTGCGTATCAGCTGATCCTCCTTCTATCTTGCGACGTTTCAGATGTAGAATGTTTGCATTTACTGAGCCCAACTGACATGCCAGTGTCGTTGGTGAAGGGCTCTGCATGGGCAGTCTGTAGTTTCAGTGTGGAATCTCCCTGGGCAATAGGTTGAAGGTGAAGGAATTGGGTAACAGGTGAAGGGTTTGTGCTGAGGTCTTGGATGATAACATTACTTTCAGTTAAGAGAAAGGTTTAAATGATATATGCACATTAGCAGTAGTAGCAGTAGCAGTAGCAGCAGTAGCAGCAGTAGTAGCAGTAGCAGTAGTAGCAGCAGTAGCAGTAGCAGTAGTAGTCCTATGCTCTCATGCAGTACATGAGGGTAGTACCAAACTCCCATGCGATACATACGTCCAGTACCAAACTGCCAAGTGATACGTGATGCCTGTACCAAACCATCTTCTAATATATGATGACAGTACCAAAGTACCTTCTAATACATGCGGTCAGTACCAAACTCCAAAGGAATACTTGAGGTCAGTACCAAACACTCATGCAATACTTGAGGTAAGTACCAAACACTCATGCAATACTTGAGGTAAGTACCAAACACCCATGCAATACATGAGGTCAGTACCAAACTCCCATGCAATACTTGAGGTCAGTACCAAACACTCATGCAATACATGAGGTCAATACCAAACACTCATGCAATACATGAGGTCAGTACCAAACTCCCATGTGATACATGAGGTTACTGCCAAACTCAAAAATGATACATGTGGTTAGTACCGAACTCCCATATGATACAGAAGCCTGTACCAAACCAGGCGCGTAGCAAGCCATTTTTTTCATGTAAGCCCGATAGGTTGCAAAGCTTCCCAATACAGTATCAAATATTTGGGAGATACAAGAATGCCACAAGCTCTTCTCATACGACGCAGTGGTTGGGTAAATAAAGTGTACGCTCGTCACGCCCAAGACCTGGGTTTGACTGTTCACTTGTCCTACTGTTTCAGGATGGGATCCCAATGAACAATGTTGGCGGTATTGAGGTCTCGGGATTTTACGAACGTTTCTCTCGGTTATACAAATTCTCTTGGCGGACAAGGATATAATATATTGGGTAAGTTTATAGGGTAAATACTATTTTACGGCTCCATTGCCATTCGTCTCCACAAGACACGCGTCATACAGTTTCTCCACAGAGTTTCAAAATCAGGTGCCAAATTCGTTAAATAGTCGCAACTTTTAGTGAAAACCTGGTGGCGTTATTTCCGGTTTCCAAACCTTCTTGAAAATGTCATCTTTGACAAGACAGAAACCATCGAACCTGGACAAAAATGTCGGGAAAGGAAAGCCCGAGGTTTGCACACTTTTACCGAACTTGATAATTACCTGTAGTGAATGTTGGTGGGTCGGTAAACCAAATAGCGTAGTTATTCTTGTCCAATGCAAAACACCATTGAAATACCCTCAGTTTTCGTGCACATTGAAAATGTAAGCTACGCACATTTTAAAGTTGATTAAGTTACTCGTTGCACTCCAGTAACTGCCCCAATATATGTATATTGCATCATTATAACTATAGTCATTCAAATACAAACTCGCTTCTGTACACTGTACAGGGATTGGGAAAGGCATGGACCATTTTGCACATTAGAATATAAAATGGCCCATTAAAATTTTAAAGCTTACTATTGATACAAGGGCAGTGGCCCATTCTAAATTCAGAAAATGGCTAATAATCCTGAAAATGGCCCATTGTCAAAGTTCTCTATCCCAATCCCTGACTGTAATATCCCCATCGAGCCGTGGTAGAAGCGTAAACGAAAGCTTCATTTAGATGACTTATTTTAGATACAGATGAGAGTCGTGGTGAGCCCTGGGTTACCTGTGTCATGTCTATTGATATGTTTATTGTGTAGATATGTAGTGATTTAGTGGCATGATTTTTGTGATAATGTTTCCTTCCTTGGAATGAAGGCATGATGGTAAGATGAGGTTCCAAATGCATGTATTATTCTGTAAACATACAACAATTAATAACATTTACCTTCTGCTTAAAGGAAAACCAAACTCCAACTTCTAGTAATCCAGTCGGTGCCATTAGCCCTCGCAATCACCAGTTCCATTGCAGACCAGGAGAATCAGCTTGAATTCGCATATTTGATCGAATTAGGCTTTCCAAAACCGTTCACCTTGCAATTTGTACTTGGTGTGTAAATGTGTTTACAATGTTGTACTTCAATAAACATCTGTATGTGCACATTTTATGTTTCCAACTCTGAAGTTCAGGTAATGTTCTCCAAACAGCAATGGTGGTTACTTTTTCAGGCAAATTGCATGTAAATTGATGTAATACTACAGTTACTACTCCCTTCTAGTCTTCCATGTTGTATAGTATAAGCCCTTCACTTGTATACTTAAGCTTGTGTTCATTCACTTGATGCACAGTTAATGACTTTATTACAAGTATTAATTAGTGCCGGCATCACTCAGATTACCTACACTATGCAAAATAACTCCAAAAGGTTTACTCCTGCCTCTGAATTTGTTAAGGGTATGTGGCAATTAGTGGTTTGCATTTGGTATTATTTCCCATGTCTGGTGTAAGTATTCAGTCAAAGATTACGCTATAAATGGATTTGATGTGGTGAATGTATTCCATATTATGCACTTACTGTTCCTCTGTGCGGATATTGACGGATATATTCCTCGAACAAGGTAACTGACTGATATTACACTAATAGCATTTAGGGGTTGTAAATATGACATTTGCATTTTATTTTTGTTTATTTGCTGCAGCAGGTACTTCATAGGTAGAAATAATCCGTCAATAGCAATCAATTAATCCAAAGTGACATAATGTTTATAAATATATAGTAACAGCTTCAACTATAATAACCTCGACATTGGAATGTATAATTTCTCATGAAATAACGCTTTCATTTGATCATAGCACCAACATTCATTGAAGATAAACCAAGTTATGGTCTATAATACGTAAATCTGTAAAAAAACAACCAATCTCAGTGCTTTCATGTTGGAGTTCTGTTTCCCTTTAAGTAAGACAACTTGTATGATGTACTCAAGCAGACTTTTGTTGCTATACTTTGACAGCCATTGTATCCCGAGAAGCCAGGAGTGAGTTAGTCCATCTCTCCCTGAATCACTCTCCCAATCCTGCAGTCACCTGCCCTATGCACTATAAATGTATACGTCATCAATAGGGACAACAGAATGCTTGTTCAGACACTACATGGTCAAAACTGATGTTGATGCAGAAATTATCTATTTGTGGTGCCATCACATCTTTAGATAGATAGATAGACTACATGGTCAAAACTGATGTTGATGCAGAAATTATCTATTTGTGGTGCCATCACATCTTTAGATAGATAGATCTGATAGATGGATCTGATAGATAGATAGATCTGATAGATAGATAGATCTGATAGATAGATAGATAGATCTGATAGATAGATAGGTCAATCAGCAGAAAATGTCAGTGGTACAAATATATTTTCGTGATTGGTTGTTTAAATAAAAGAAGGGAATGCTCCAATATAACTAAAAGTGAAATTACTTAAACTCCAAGTTGCAAGAGATACTACTTTTTTTTGCAATGAAGCAGTTGGGATCACATTACAACCTGTGGTGAAGTAGGACAGTAGACATGGTAGATGTTATGCCCACAATCTCACAAGACACCAGGGGTAAGCAGAGATGCCAACCCATACGATTTTATCGTATTCGTTACGAAAAAACAACTCAAAATATGCGACTACGATAGCAGTAAAAAAAATACGAATTTTCAAAAATAATACATTCAATTAAATTATCAAATAGCATACGTACCATAAAATAATACGTACAATAAATTTCAACCACATTTTATTCAGTATCAAGCTATATATGGATACTTACTACTCATTTAGGTGAGTACAACATCAATAACAAGGTCTTAGACAATATATTTACATAGTTTATTTAATATGAAAATTCTTTGGAAAAGTTAATACTTATTTTGGCCCTAAAATACTAATTTTTGCATCAGTTTTTTACAAAATACTAATTGGGCTAAATTAGGGTTGGCATCTCTGGATAAGATGAGAAATTTATAATTTGAGGTTCTTATCAGTAGTTCATAACAATGCCATGATTTGTCAAACATTCATTCCCTGTGTATGCTACTCCTGCTGTCGCTATGAGGCCGAGTGTATGGTCAGCGGTCCATGACGTTGAAGCACACATCTCCATATTACAGCCCAGACAAGTTCAGTGAGAGAGAGTCAGTGCTTGTCATTCTATAAATGTTGTGTTGCTGGAGGTGAGCATAAGTACATGGTGAGGATAGGCATTGCCATCCTAGAAGTCCTTGCAAACAGGACGACAGAGCAGGGAGCCCTGAAAGTACCATCATGTGACCCTTCCTTGTACAATACTGAGTGGAATCCACCACAACTGTTCTTCCGCCATCTTATATAGGGGTTTGCCAGTCACACCTCCACCAGGGCATTCAAAGTAAATCAGGCTGATCTGAAAAGGTTAACACATGACCTGCTACAGTTACTCCAGGTTCAGTGTTGTGTTGGGGGGACTCAGTAGCAATGTTTCCTAGGATCGGCAGACAATCCTACTCATCGCCATCATTAACTGTGTTGGGGCTGTAGTTCAGGGGTGTTAACTACATCCTACTGTGTTGTCGCAACCTCAGTTGCTTTCACCTGCCACAGGTAGAAGTACTAAGATGAAGGACAGTATAGCATGTAGTACCCATGTGTGACCCTCCCTGTAGTGGTAGTACCAGAAATGTCTATTTTCAGTGCTCTACCTTTAACTGATTGTGTCCCGCTAACCCCTTCTGTACACACCTTCAAGATCCTTCACTTCACCTTCTTACACATATGTGCCATCTTTAGGGCAGTTACATGTTTTTGATACTTATTGTACTTGTGCAGACATATTTCAGCATCATTGTCAAGATCTAATTTCACATGTTACACATAGGCAGTAACTGTGGAGAGGTATTGCTGGACACATGTATCTATAAGCAAACAGATTGGGAGTGGATGCACATAGTTGCATTCAGAGTCTGATGTGTTTTTTATGTTTAGAAAAACACTCAAACCTTTGAAATATGTCCTGGGTTTGTAGCCTGATTATATCTGGTATTTGTCAGCACCATACCAGTGGTAGCTGTCTAAGACCTGTATCAGTTCTGGCTTTCCTCATACAGCAAGCTCTCATGTCGTACCATACTAACATCGTGTTTAAAGTGGCATTCAACCAAACTTACAAAATCTGTCATATCCCTGAATCTTGTGTCAGTTTAAGACCACCAATCAGCATCTATAGAAGGTAGGTGTGATTGAATTAAATACGTCCTACATTGTACTTTCCTTCCTAAGACAGCCCACCAACAAATGCTTCTTTTGACATTTCCTGAGCCTTTTGATCCCTCCCCGTGTGTAGCTAGCATGACAAGATGCTCCAACTACAACAACCTGCAGGTATATACGTGCGGTGATACAGAGAGAGGTAGTATGCCATCATCACGATGTTTGATGGCAGCTTTACAAAGTTGTTGAAGCATTTGGTCATGGTACCAAAGACCCAGGTTCAATTCCCCACTTGGGTTCAATGTGTGAAACCCATTTCAGGATTCCTCCAGCCACGATATTGCTGAAAACATAGAACCTGACTCATTCATGTTTTATATATAGTAAGATGCTGGCATATTTCTGGAGCCATTAGATAAGTAGATATTTCTTACTGTCATCATTGTCATCTCCTTAGATTAATGAGGTATATTAAGCAATAAAACCATAAGATACGCTGGATGGAGGGACATATGACTGTTCAGACTCTCCAAACTCTCTTTTTCATTTTTCCTTATTGAAACTGTTTTAGTATATTTATACTTTCAGCTCAATACCGAAGTGTACCGGTATACTAAATTGTCATCTCTACCAAAATATTTTATTTCTGTAGTTTTTCTGTGTCCTGAAACATACCAACACTTAACTCTTTGTCTCCAAATGTAGTGGAAACTTCTTATGCTGTGAACAGAGCAATATCTGACCTGCGGGCACCAGAGGGGCACCAGACGGGCACACCGGAACCACGAATCCAAGCCGCTAGACTAGTCACTCTCTCCATTTTTTGCCCAGCAACGTCCCTCAACACCGTACAATGGATTGTAGATACAGTTACTGCACTCTCTTAAGAGATGAATTTGCTGAATATTGCTTCACTATTCAGAAGATCATGGACAGGAAAAGTGCAGTGGTACCTGGCATTTCCTACAGGAGAAATGGGCTTCACACATTGTGCCCATGTGGGGATTCGAACCCGGGTCTTCGGCGTGACGAGCCAATGCTTTAACCATTAGGCTACCCCACCGCCCCTTTGTTTCAGATCTCTCCTTCATGAGGTTCATCTTTAGGTAGCAGAAGGGTTAATGGCTATGCAGTCTAAAAAGGATTCCCCTACTAGGTCTACTGATCATGGTAAAACCCTCAGACTTTGGCAATGATGAAGAATACAAGTTTCGAATTATTTGCACACACAACTCAGTTATGACACTCAAGGTCAACAAGGTCAAACCTTCCAGGTACAACAAGATCAGCAAGCATTTAAAGGGTGACATTTCAACTGTAAATCCTGACAGTCTCAACTTTGATATAAAAGCAAGAGACATTCCAGGAGCTTCAGATGTCCTATCAGCTCAGCCAAACCAGCCTCAACATAACAAATACAACTTCCAGAAACATTTCAGCTGGCAACACATGAGCACGGTTGCCTGTCAATGAATGTGTCTGCAACTTGCAGTCAGCAGACAGATGGACAACCTGCACCAATAATGTCTTAGCAGTGTCCTGGGAAGGTCTTCATACATATGCATTGTCTTACACAAGATCTTGCAAACAAAGAACCTAGTGGCAAAAGCAGAAAAAAAAAACTCTAAGACTAACAAACTTTACAAGGGAATTTACACCAGAGCTGCCATAGCACAAGTAGCAAAATATGTGTGTCATCTCAGAACCACAAGAAGTCTCAAGGTTCTCAATTTGGGCTCTCATCTGGCTGCAGTCAGTTCTCTCTTAACCATGGCCAAATCGAAATAGAAAAACCTCATTGCTCTACTGACATCCTTCAGATTGGTAGATCAGCAGAAGTTAAGGGCTCCTGCTTCAGACCAAAACAGTGCTTAAACATCTTACCAGTGATGTGTGTGAACCTTTGCAACAAGCAGATTTCAATCTTTTCCTTCATCGAGGAACTTTACCATGGAAGTTTCAGGAACAACCGTCTCTTTCTTGATGAAAGCATTATACTCGGAGCTTACAAGGCAGCATCCAGTCTACTAGCTATAGCTCCTACGCAGCCCATCATGGCAACTGTTCCATCCTATCTGTTATGGAAGGCTGTTTCTGATACTGTTTTTGCAAACCACTATCTTAGAGATTTCAGTACAGTAGATGTCGGTGGTATTTATCCATTTGGTCAACTAGTTATAGCTCAGTGACTAACAGTTCCTGAGACACAGTTCATGAAGGTTTTCAAAACAGATGACATTTGTAACACATTTAGGTAAAACCTACCACCTACTGTCAGTTTCATGCTATTAGTATGAGTCAAGATAAGGGAAGATATGTATCTTTTAGAAAATATTCATGAAAATATGACTTTATACTTATCCTGACTTATACTAAAGATGTGTTTCAGACTGTTAAGTAAGGAAATGGAGAGAGTGACAAGTTGACCATCCTGGTTATGTGGTTCTGATGTGCAGGGGAAAGGTGACATCCACGGAGAGGTATTTCTGCTCTTTAAGAGCACAGCAAAGGACGTTTCCACTACAGTTAAGGAGAATGAAGAGATCAGCATGAGTCAGGAAATATGAAATAATAGATTTCAGAGAAAAATGCATTGTTATACATGTCTATTTTAGGTGAATATTGCAACCTTTGCACTGCTGTTCTCTGAGATTGTCCAGTATTGCCAGAACAGAGTCTACACTGTACCTGAGCTCCAGAACAAGTGAGTATATAGCAAGGGCTTGGATGTAACAGTAGGGTTGGAGGCTAAGGTGGACCAGTAGAGCGGGAGGCTAAGGTGGACCAGTAAAGTGGAGCCTTAGGTGGACCAGTAGAGAGGGCGCCTAAGGTGGACCAGTAGAGAGGGCGCCTAAGGTGGACCAGTAGAGAGGGCGCCTAAGGTGGACCAGTAGAGCGGAAGTCTTAGTTGGACGAGTAGAGCGGGAGGCTAAGGTGGACCAGAAGAGCTGGAGCCTTAGGTGGACCAGTAGAGTGGGAGGCAAAGGTGGACTAGTAGAGCGGGAGGCTAAGGTTGACCAGTAGAGCGGACGTCTAAGGTGGACGAGTAGAGCGGGAGGCTAAGGTAGACCAGAAGAGAGCGAGGCTAAGGTGGATAAGTAGAGTGGGAGGCTAAGGTGGACCAATAGAGTGGGAGCCTTAGGTGGACGAGTAGAGCAGAAGGCTAAGGTGGACCAGCAGAGCGGGAGCCTTAGGTGGACCAGTAGGTTGGGAGGCTAAGGTGGATAAGTAGAGTGGGAAGCGAAGGTGGACCAGTAGAGTGGAGCCTTAGGTGGACCAGTAGAGAAGTGCTGCTAAGGTGGACCAGTAGAGAGGGAGTCTTAGGTGGACCAGTAGAGCCCCTTAAGGTGGACCGGGAGCTAAGGTGGACCAGAAGAGAGGGAGGAGGCTAAGGTGGAGGCCAAGGTGGACCAGCAGAGAGGGGAGCCTTAGGTGGAGAAGTAGAGAGAGGGAGGGAGGCTAAGGTGGATAAGTAGAGTGGGAGGCTAAGGTGGACCAGTAGAGTGGGAGCCTTTAGGTGGACCCTAAGTAGAGGCAGGAAGGCTAAGGTGGACCAGTAGAGCCGGGAGTCTTAGGTGGACCAGTAGAGAGGGAGGCTAAGGTGGACCAGTAGAGTGGGAGGCTAAGGTGGAGTGGGAGGCTAAGGTGGACCAGTAGGTGGAGCCCAGGTGGACCAGGAAGGCTAAGGTGGATGGGGCAAGCAGAGTGGGCCAAGGTGGGCCAGTAGAGAGGGGAGGCTAAGGTGGACCAGTAGAGCCGGAAGTCTTAGGGTGGGCCCAGTAGAGATGGGTAGAGAGGGAGGCCAAGGTGGGTAGAGCCGGGAGGCCAAGGTTGACCAGCCCAGGCTAAGGTGGACGAAAGTAGAGCGGGAGCTAAGGGGAGACCAGAAGAGGGAGGCTAATAAGTGAGAGTGGGAGGCCAAGGAGAGAGGGAGGGGAAGGTGGACAGAGAAAGAGCAGAAGGATAAGGTGGACCAGCAGAGCGGGAGGCTTAGGTGGACCAGTAGAGCAGAGAGGGAGGCTAAGGTGGACCAGTAGGATAGGTGGACCTAGTGAGGGACGGCCAAGGTGGTAGAGAGGAGTAGGCTAAGTCTTAGGTGGACCAGTGGAGGAAGGTGGACTCAGGAAGAGAAGGTGGACCAGTAGGAGGCTAAGGTGGACCAGTGAGAGCCTAAGGGGAGAGAGGGAGTGGAGTGGGAGGCTAAGGTGGACCAGTATAGTGGGAGCTAAGGTGGACCAGTAGTTAGGTGGACCAGTAAAGCAGAAGGCTAAGGTGGGTAAGTAGAGTGGGCTAAGATGGGCCAGTAGAGCGGAAGGATAAGGTGGACCAGTAGAGCGGGAGTCTTAGGTGGACCAGTAGAGTGGGAGGCTAAGGTGGACCAGTAGAGCGGGAGGCTAAGGTGGACCAGTAGAGCGGGAGGCTAAGGTGGACCAGTAGAGCGGGAGGCTAAGGTGGACCAGTAGAGCGGGAGCCTTAGGTGGATAAGTAGAGTGGGAGCCTAAGGTGGGACTAGTAGAGTGGGAGGCAAAGGTGGACCAGCTGAGGTGGGAGGCTAATTGGGGACAAGTAGAGTGGGAGGCTAAGGTGGACCAGAAGAGATGGAATCTCGGTGGACCAGTAGAGCGGGAGGTTAAGGTGGACCAATAGAGCGGGATGCTAAGGTGGACCAGTAGAGTGGGAGGCTAAGGTGGATAAGTAGAGTGGGAGCCTTAGGTGGACCAGTAGAGTGGGAGCCTAAGGTGGACCAGTATAGTGGGAGGCTAAGGTGGACCAGTAGCGTGGGAGCCTTAGGTGGACCAGTAAAGCGGAAGGCTAAGGTGGGTAAGTAGAGTGGGCTAAGGTGGGCCAGTAGAGCGGAAGGATAAGGTGGACCAGTAGAGCGGGAGTCTTAGGTGGACCAGTAGAGTGGGAGGCTAAGGTGGACCAGTAGAGTGGGAGGCTAAGGTGGACCAGTAGAGAGGGGGACCAAGGTGGACCAGTAGAGCGGGAGCCTTAGGTAGACCAGTAGAGCGGAAGGCTAAGGTGGACCAGTACAGTGGGAGGCTAAGGTGGACCAGTAGAGTGTGGAGGCTAAGGTGGACCAGTAGAATGTGAGGCCAAGGTGGACCAGTAGAGCAGGGTGGGGAGGGAGAGGGGCCAAAGGTGGACTAGTAGAGTTGGCCACTAGAGATAAAACTTAACTTGTTTTCTCCTCCACAGGCTGGCTGAGTTAGGTCAACATGTTGGTTCTCATCTGCTTGACGTCCTGTTTCTGCGAGAAAAGGGGTTCAAGCGTGAAATCAAGCTATTACAGATGCTCATCTTCATCAAGTCCAACGTCTGGAAGGTCAGTCCAACTCAACAGTCATTTGTCTGTATATAGTATGACCAGAAATTATTGAGAATTTTAGGAATATGTTTTATTGGATTTCTAGTATAAACAACCTTGACCAGCTATCAATTGCTTGGTTTCATTCAAGAGAGACAACTCCGTTAATCCTTTTTTTATTAGTTTGTGAAGAGTTATCCCCCTTTGTTTACTTGCTAGCAGACGACATTTTCAGTGATCCTCAGTATGGATGATTTAGAAAATAGGAAGTTGAGGACACTAGGACATCAGATCAGCTAAAGTGATTTCAAGTAGAACAGGCATCCCTTTGTCCACTGTTTATTGTGTTTTGAAAAATATTACAAATGGATATGGCAATGAGCAGCAGGTAGGCCCAGAAAATTGACTGTCGGTGACAGGAGGCGGCTTGGTATTCTTGTTTCTAAAAACAAACGAAGGGGCTTAGAAAACTTACGGCTGGATATGATTCTCAATAATTTCTGGTTGTTCTGTATCAGCAAGTCCAAGTACCATCAAACAAATGGGGCTGCAGGGAATCCTATGCTTGACAGGTTTAAGTAGCCAACAATTAGATCATCCAACAATATTAATTGTTCTCTTATCAATAGAGAAGGCACAAGGTCAGTACAATAAGAGGGAGGCAAATTTCAAAATCTACTCTTAAAATCAAATCTCTGCAGCCTTTCTAAAAGCAAGGCCTCCTGTGAAGGGTCGTGACTGCAGGTGACACAGGTTGCAGTGTTTCCGCTGACTTAATTATTCATCGGACACTGTGTCTGGCGGCCTAACATTTTACCGGTCCTGAATGAAATTTGCTGGTCATATCCTATTACCATACTGTACGTACTCGTTTTAAAGTTATTTTTAGCCTGGGTATTTCCAAAGCATAACAATTTTTGTGACCATGAAAGCACAGGTAAGACTGTCATTTCGCTTACCCATGATGTTTCTATTTTAATACATGATTATTTACCGAACACGGTGTCCTGCTGGCTTTCAATTTACTGGTCCCCAACGACTTTGGGTATATACCGGAGAACGGAAACACTGGGTTGGAGTGGGCAAGGCAACATGACCGACAGGATGTGTGCCAGTGTGTAGATAATCCATGACAGGATGTGTGCCAGTGTACAGATAATCCATGACAGTATGTGTGTCCGTGTGCAGATAATCCATGACAGTAGGCGTGCCCAGTGTACAGATAATCCATGACAGGATGTGTGCCAGTGTGTAGATAATCCATGACAGGATGTGTGCCAGTGTACAGATAATCCATGACAGTATGTGTGCCAGTGTACAGATAATCCATGACAGGATGTGTGCCAGTGTACAGATAATCCATGACAGGATGTGTGTCAGTGTACAGATAATCCATGACAGGATGTGTGCCAGTGTGCAGATAATCCATGACAGTATGTGTGCCAGTGTGTAGATAATCCATGACAGTAGTGTGCGCCAGTGTAGATAATCCATGACAGTATGTGTGCCAGTGTACAGATAATCCATGACAGGATGTGTGCCAGTGTACAGATAATCCATGACAATATGTGTGTGTGTAATTGATAATCCATGACAGTAGTTGGGCGCCCAGTGTACAGATAATCCATGACAGTATGTGTGCCAGTGTACAGATAATCCATGACAATATGTGTGTCCCGTGTACTGATAATCCATGACAGTAGTTGCGCCCAGTGTACAGATAATCCATGACAGTATGTGTAACCAGTGTACAGATAATCCATGACAGGTGTGCCAGTGTACAGATAATCCATGACAGTATGTGTGCCAGTGTGTAGATAATCCATGACAGGATGTGTGCCAGTGTACAGATAATCCATGATAGGATGTGCTTCAGTGTACAGATAATCCATGACAGTAGGTGCCCAGTGTACAGATAATCCATGACAGTATGTGTGCCAGTGTACAGATAATCCATGATAGGATGTGTGCCAGTGTACAGATAATCCATGACAATATGTGTGTCCGTGGTACTGATAATCCATGACAGTAGCTGCGCGCCAGTGTACAGATAATCCATGACAGTATGCGCACAGTAAAGTGTACAGATAATCCATGACAATATGTGTGTCCGTGTACTGATAATCCATGACAGTAGTTGCGCCCAGTGTGTACAGATAATCCATGACAGTATGTGTGTCAGTGTACAGATAATCCATGACAGGATGTGTGCCAGTGTACAGATAATCCATGACAGTATGTGTGCCAGTGTAGATAATCCATGACAGGATGTGCCCAGTGTACAGATAATCCATGATAGGATGTGTGCCAGTGTACAGATAATCCATGACAGTAGGTGCGCCAGTGTACAGATAATCCATGACAGTATGTGTGTCAGTGTACAGATAATCCATGATAGGATGTGTGCCAGTGTACAGATAATCCATGACAGGATGTGTGTCAGTGTACAGATAATCCATGACAGTAGGTGTGCCAGTGTACAGATAATCCATGACAGTATGTGTGTCAGTGTACAGATAATCCATGATAGGATGCCAGTGTACAGATAATCCATGACAGTATGTGTGTCAGTGTACAGATAATCCATGATAGGATGTGCGCCAGTGTACAGATAATCCATGACAGGATGTGTGTCAGTGTGTAGATAATCCATGACAGTATGTGTGCCAGTGTGTAGGTAATCCATGACAGTAGTTGCGCCAGTGTACAGATAATCCATGACAGGATGTGTGCCAGTGTGCAGATAATCCATGACAGGATGTGTGCCAGTGTGTAGATAATCCATGACAGTATGTGTGTCCGTGTACTGATAATCCATGACAGTAGTTGCGCCAGTGTACAGATAATCCATGACAGGATGTGTGCCAGTGTGCAGATAATCCATGACAGTATGTGTGCCAGTGTGTAGATAATCCATGACAGTATGTGTGCCAGTGTGTAGATAATCCATGACAGTATGTGTGTCCGCGGTACTGATAATCCATGACAGAAGCCATGCGTGCCAGTGTACAGATAATCCATGACAGTATGTGTGCCAGTGTGTAGATAATCCATGACAGTATGTGTGTCAGTGTACAGATAATCCATGACAGGATGTGTGCCAGTGTACAGATAATCCATGACAGTATGTGTGTCAGTGTGTAGATAATCCATGACAGGATGTGTGCCAGTGTACAGATAATCCATGACAGTATGTGTGCCAGTGTACAGATAATCCATGACAGTATGTGTGCCAGTGTGTAGATAATCCATGACAGGATGTGTGCCAGTGTACAGATAATCCATGACAGTATGTGTGCCAGTGTGTAGATAATCCATGACAGTATGTGTGCCAGTGTACAGATAATCCATGACAGTATGTGTGCCAGTGTGTAGATAATCCATGATAGGATGTGTGCCAGTGTGTAGATAATCCATGACAGTATGTGTGCCAGTGTACAGATAAGCCATGACAGGATGTGTGCCAGTGTGTAGATAATCCATGACAGTATGTGTGCCAGTGTACAATAATCCATGACAGGATATGTGCCAGTCTACAGATAATCCGTTACAGTATGTGTGAGAAAGTCAAATTGACCAATGTGAAACTTCATTTCCTGCCTCCCAACACCACTGTCATTGGTGATTTCTTTAAACCCAAGTGAGTTTCTGAGTTTTGATCGTTATACAACCTGTAATAAAGTCATTAGATACATGTACATGCATACGTTCTTATGTTCTTGTCTCAGTATGTCAAAGGGAAGTAACTCTACTTTAATAGTATCCTTAATGGTTTGCTTCAGTAGTCCGAACGTTTTTGATGAAAAACTGAAGTGTTCTGATTAACACCAGATATTGATCTACACACCAGATACAGATCTACACACCCGATACAGATCTACATACCAGATACAGATCGACACACCAGATCTACACACCAGAGACTGATCTTCGAACCAGATACAGATCTACACACCAGATACAGATCTACACACCAGGTACAGATCTACACACCAGATACAGATCTACACACCAGATACAGATCTACAGATACAGATCTACACACCAGGCACAGATCTACACACCAGATACAGATCTACAGATACAGATCTACACACCAGGTCCAGTGGTACTGATCTACACACCAGATACAGATCTACACACCAGATACAGATCTACATACCAGATACTGATCTACACACCAGATACAGATCTACACACCAGGTACTGATGTACATACCAGATCCCCATGGCTGATCTACACCAGATACAGATCTACACACCAGATACAGATCTACAGATACAGATCTACACACCAGATACAGATCTACACACCAGACACAGATCTACACACCAGACACAGATCTACACACCAGATACAGATCTACACACCAGACACAGATCTACACACCAGGTACAGATCTACACACCAGGTACTGATCTACACACCAGATACAGATCTACACACCAGATACAGATTGATCTACACACCAGATACTGATCTACACACCAGATACAGATCTACACACCAGATACAGATCTACACACCACATACTGATCTACACCAGATACAGATCTACACACCAGATACAGATCTACACACCAGGTACTGATCTACACACCAGATACTGATCTACACACCAGGTACAGATCTACACACCAGATACAGATCTACACACCAGATACTGATCTACACGCCAGATACTGATCTACACACCAGATACTGATCTACACACCAGATACAGATCTACACACCAGATACAGATCTACACACCAGATACAGATCTACACACCAGATACTGATCTACACACCAGATACAGATCTACACACCAGATACTGATCTACACACCAGATACTGATCTACACACCAGATACAGATCTACACACCAGATACTGATCTACACACCAGGTACAGATCTACACACCAGATACAGATCTACACACCAGATACAGATCTACACACCAGATACAGATCTACACACCAGATACAGATCTACACACACACAGATTCACACACCAGATACAGATCTACACACCAGATACAGTTCTACACACCAGATACTGATCTACACTCCAGATACAGATCTACACACAGGTACAGATCTACACCATCTACACACCAGATACTGATCTACACACCAGATACAGATTCATACACCAGATACAGATCTACACACCAGGTACAGATCTACACACCAGGTACTGATCTACATACACAGATACTGATCTACACACCAGATACAGATCTACACACCAGACAGATCTACACACCAGGTGCGGATCTACACACCAGGTACTGATCTACACACCAGATACTGATCTACACACCAGATACTGATCTACACACCAGATACAGTTCTTCACACCAGATACTGATCTACACAGATACTGACACCAGATACTGATCTACACGCCAGATACAGATCTACACAGATACAGATACTGATCTACACACCAAGTACAGATCTACACACCAGATACAGATCTACACACCAGATACAGATCTACACACCAGATACAGATCTACACACCAGATACTGATCTACACGCCAGATACAGATCTACACGCCAGATACAGATCTACACACCAGGTACAGATCTACACACCAGGTACAGATCTACACACCAGATACAGATCAACACACCAGGTACAGATCTACACACCAGATACAGATCTACACACCAGGTACAGATCTACACACCAGATACTGATCTACACTCCAGATACAGATCTACACACCAGGTACAGATCTACACACCAGATACTGATCTACACACCAGATACAGATCTACACACCAGATACAGATCTACACACCAGGTACAGATCTACACACCAGGTACTGATCTACACACCAGATACTGATCTACACCAGATACAGATCTATTAATACGAGACACCAGACAGAGATCTACACACCAGGTGCAGATCTACACACCAGATACTGATCTACACACCAGATACAGATCTATACACCAGATACAGATCTACACATCCAGGTACAGATCTACACACCAGATACAGATCTACACACCCAGCATTTATCATCAGTACGCCTTCACTATAATTTCTATTGATTTATTTGTTGCAGACTTTGTTTGGAAAGGAGGCCGACAAACTAGAACATGCAAATGACGATGAGAGAACATGTATCCTTTGCAGAGTTTTGTCACGGATGAATATGAAAATACACCAAAAAAATATAACTTCATGGTGTCTGTTTAAGTGTGAAGAAATGTTCGGTCCTGGACACTGATGAAGTCTAGAGACCGATCAATGTTTTGTTTCTCCATAATCACATTTTGAATCCCATCGTAATCACTTGCTCATTCCTTAATACTGCAACAGATTATATAATAGAGAAAGAGTCTATGGTGAACAAGTTCATATCAGTACCTAAAGATAAAGGTAAGTATGTTTTACAGTTTCATGTCAGTACCTAAAGATAAAGGTAAGTATGTTTTACAGTTTCATGTCAGTACCTAAAGATAAAGGTGTATATGCTGCACAGTTTCATGTCAGTACCTAAAGATAAAGGTAAGTATGTTGCACAGTTTCATGTCAGTACCTAAAGATAAAGGTAAGTATGTTGCACAGTTTCATGTCAGTACCTAAAGATAAAGGTGTGTATGCTGCACAGTTTCATGTCAGTACCTAAAGATAAAGGTAAGTATGCTGCACAGTTTCATGTCAGTACCTAAAGATAAAGGTAAGTATGCTGCACAGTTTCATGTCAGTACCTAAAGATAAAGGTGTGTATGCTGCACAGTTTCATGTCAGTACCTAAAGATAAAGGTAAGTATGCTGCACAGTTTCATGTCAGTACCTAAAGATAAAGGTAAGTATGCTGCACAGTTTCATGTCAGTACCTAAAGATACAGGTAAGTATGTTGCACAGTTTAATGTCAGAGATAACTGTAACTATGGGACACAGTTTCATGTCAAAGATAACAAAACTATGTTGCACAGTTTCATGTCAGAGATAACTGTAACTATGTGCACAGTTTAACGTCAGAGAGAGCGGTAACTATGTTGCACAGTTTCATGTCAGATAACTGTAACTATGGGACACAGTTTCATGTCAAAGATAATGGTAACTATGGGCACAGTTTAATGTCAGAGATAACGGTAACTATGAGACACAGTTTCATGTCAGAGATAATGGTAACTATGGGCACAGTTTAATGTCAGAGATAATGGTAACTATGAGACACAGTTTCATGTCAGAGATAATGGTAACTATGGGCACAGTTTAATGTCAGAGATAATGGTAACTATGTTGCACAGTTTCATGTCAGATAACTGTAACTATGGGACACAGTTTCATGTCAAAGATAATGGTAACTATGGGCACAGTTTAATGTCAGAGATAACGGTAACTATGAGACACAGTTTCATGTCAGAGATAACGGTAACTATGGGGCACAGTTTCATGTCAGAGATAATGGTAACTATGGGCACAGTTTAATGTCAGAGATAACGGTAACTATGAGACACAGTTTCATGTCAGAGATAATGGTAACTATGGGCACAGTTTAATGTCAGAGATAATGGTAACTATGTTGCACAGTTTCATGTCAGAGATAACGGTAACTATGTGCACAGTTTAACGCCAGAGAGTTTCATGTCAGAGTAACTATGTGCACAGTTTAACGTCAGAGAGAGCGGTAACTATGTTGCACAGTTTCATGTCAGATAACTGTAACTATGGGACACAGTTTCATGTCAAAGATAATGGTAACTATGAGACACAGTTTCATGTCAGAGATAATGGTAACTATGGGCACAGTTTAATGTCAGAGATAATGGTAACTATGTTGCACAGTTTCATGTCAGAGAGATAACGGTAACTATGGGCACAGTTTAATGTCAGAGATAATGGTAACTATGTTGCACAGTTTAATGTCAGAGAGAGCGTAACTATGGGCACAGTTTAATGTCTATGGGAGATAATGTCAGAGATAATGGTAACTATGTTGCACAGTTTCATGTCAGAGAGAGCGGTAACTATGGGCACAGTTTAATGTCGGAGATAACGGTAACTATGTGGCACAGTTTCATGTCAAATAACGGTAACTATGGGCACAGTTTAATGTCAGAGATAATGGTAACTATGTTGCACAGTTTCATGTCAGAGATAATGGCAGCTATGTTGCACAGTTTCATGTCAGAGATAACTATGTTGCACAGTTTCATGTCAGAGATAATGGTAACTATGGGACACAGTTTCATGTCAGAGATAATGGTAACTATGGGCATAGTTTAATGTCAGAGATAATGGTAACTATGTTGCACAGTTTCATGTCAGAGGTAACAGTAACTATGTTGCACAGTTTCATATCAGAGATAACGTTAACTATGGGCACAGTTTAATGTCAGAGATAATGGTAACTTTGTTGCACAGTTTCATGTCAGAGATAATGGTAACTATGAGCTCAGTTTCATGTCAGAGAAAACGGTAACTATGGGGCACAGTTTAATGTCAGAGATGTCAGTGGTAACTATGTTGCTCAGTTTCATGTCAGAGATAATGGTAACTATGTTGCACAGTTTCATGTCAGATAACAGTAACTATGTTGCACAGTTTCATGTCAGAGATAATGGTAACTATGGGACACAGTTTAATGTCAGAGAGAGCGGTAACTATGGGGCACAGTTTAATGTCAGAGATAATGGTAACTATGAGCACAGTTTAATGTCAGAGATAACGGTAACTATGGGGCACAGTTTAATGTCAGAAATAACGGAACCTATGGGGCACATTTTTAAACCAGTTTCTAAAGATAAAGGTAACTCTGTGACTGGTGATGGTGTGTTGACAGCTTCAAAGTTAATGTCGATCCTAAGGCCCGAAGCCGACTACAAACCACTTGGATCCACAGCTTTTGTTTTCTGCAGGTCCTCATGGCCGACAGCTTTTTTCATCCCCAGTAACTAAGAGTATTATTTCCATATTAAAATATGGGGCCTACACATTCTGATCAGGACCCACAACTTTTTATGGAGAAATTTGCTAAAGGACATCCACTGTGTGTTGTCCAGAGAGCCATGGGTCTCACTGTGACTTTGTGTTGTAGGCAACCTGAACTGTGCAGCGTTTACAGCAGGCATCCTAGAAGCAGTATTAAATGGAGCAAACTTTGTAAGTAGTGTTTTCATATATATGTAGCAATTACCAGGTGTAGAACCTGTAGAGTATAAGATGTGATACAATGGGCACTTTGTTTTCCTTACCTGTATAATGCTTGAAATGTCTTGATCGATTATTTTTGTCTGGAATCCAAAGTCACAAACATTTATTTCAGATGTGAGAAAGTGTTGTTTCTGTGATGAGGCTCTCTGTTTCAGCCTGCCAAGGTGACTGTCCACTGGCACAAAGGGACCACCTTTATGATCAAATTGGATGAATCTGTTATAGCCCGGGATAAGCACATTGACGGCAGGTGAAGATCGATGAGTCCATCAGGGTGACACAGTCAAGACTGTGTGAGAGCAGCAGTTAAATGGGGATGTGGTTGCTCAACAGATGTACTCTATCACCATGAAGGAACAACATTCTGTTGTCTTGGGATGAGGGGGGAGGTGTCTGGCCAAACAACCACAAAAACTACCACTGAAAGCTGGTCCAGAAGTGTTTGTCATCATCTTGGATAAATGGATGCAAATAATCATAAAACATATTGTGTAATTTCTTCAATTATGTGTGTGTCATTTAGCTGAACAACAAGTGTGTCACTTATTTGAACATCTGAGTCACCAACTTCTGTTACATTTGGGATTACACTTTCTCAGTAAAGTACAGATACTAGTACTTTTGTTGGGTTGAGTCCCGCCCGGGATTCAAACCCACACTGACAGAGTCAGGCACCTAACCCACTCAGCTGCCACGACAAAGTGGAAGTTGCGGTTGCTGAGTGGGTTAGACGGCCGACTTTGTGTGCTGGCAATTAGGTGCCTGACTCTGAGGGTGTGGTTTTGAATCCTGCATGACACACAACGCAACAAAAGTACTAGACTCTGTATTTTACTGAGAAAGTGTAATCGTAATGTTATATTTGACCACTTTCTAAGTCACCAAGTTGAACAACAACCGTGGGACATAACTGTCACTGAGCTGAACAACAACTGTGTCACTTAGCTGAACAACTTTTTCCACTTGCCTGACCAAGTGAGATTGGCTGGATCCAGCTTCAAGCAGTTGTCAGAACCTACTGATAATATTCCATTGTCTTTGCTAGTTGAGAACCTAGTAACAAAGCCATATTTATTCAAAATGGAAAGAAATATGATACATCTGTAGTTAGTAGTAGGGTATACCATACATGTTCAGTTTATGATTCTATCATTTTTTGCAATAATTAAAACCTTTGTTTTGACCATGCTCTTCAGTGGTATTTTGGCTTTGTAACCTCAGACATGGGAAGCTGTTTGCTGTACGATGGCCTTCTATTGTCAACAGCTTTGAAGTATGTTTGCCGCCATATGAAACTGTGCATTGCATATCCAATTGAACTACCTATTTTCTGTCATTACAATTTTGAGGTTGTAGCACAATTGGCTTTGTATCACTGCATCCGTTCTTTAACCCCCGACAAGTAAACATGGATTTGTCATTTGCTGTCAGTTAATCATCAAATTGGGTGTAAAGTCTGAACTGAGTCAACAAAGCTGTTTCTGTTGAACAGTGGTACACCCTTGTCATTTTTTAACTCTCACTGGATACAGTGATACTCACCAAAAGCTTGATGTTCTATGTGTAGTATAGTTAAAATTAAAAATCCACATTTACTTGCTTTCTGTGCTGTAATGTATAATTTAAGCTACCTTTGATTTGATGATATGCTGTATATACATATATATATATTTTAAAAAAAGTACTAGTAGTAATACTGTGTATGTTGTTAATCTCATATGTGGACTCTACACCAGTCCAAGAGAGTTGCTTGTTTTGTTAGTCAACATTATTCCAGCAGTATCACAGCGGCATGTCACCATTAAGCAGAGCAAAATGACTGTCGATTTTCATAGTCTACCCTAACTTTAGACGATACTCATGATGTCCGATGGAATAGAATAACATGATATATTCTGAATATTTTATTCTTGAAAATATATACATTTTGAAGCACAAGTGATGTACAACATCTCCAAGTACAACAAATATGAACAAAACTATCATTGTATTAAAGTCAACTATGGTTATAACAAACTCAGAGTGACTGCTAATTTTAGTTCATTCTATCCATTTCAACAAAAATATACAGCAAGTGATAGGGACAACAGTATGTTCATCAGTTCATTATAAGCGTGTACAAACTACAGATGGAAATCACCACCATCAGCCCAGCCTTGATAAGGTTATTTCACTCCTTCCCAATGTATTTAGGTATGATAAATTACTTGGGGACTTCTGGGCATGTTTAGAGCTTTCTCACCAACAAATTACTAATCTTGCAAAGTGATGCCTTTTTTGCATTAACCATTATGTTGCAGTTTATTTTATATCGGGACCTATGTAGTGTTAAGCTTTTATGTGGGTTTTCGAGCCCCACCCAACTGAATGACAGTGATCAGTAAACAATTTTTCAGCTTATTGATGTCCTGAGCATCGGTCCAATTCAGAAATGATGGCATTCAATGATGTTAGTGTGCAACACCTAGCAAGTCTTTTGTCATGGCAAGCACAGGCTGGTAAGATGAGCTCAAGAGCTGGATTGCGGTGTTAAGCGTTCATGTTACAGGACATTCACTCATTGTAAACCAAAAGCCACTGTGTTCTTTAATCTGATTGGTTGAAAAACGTGATCAAATGGTATTAGATTCCCGGAAATTCGCTGCGTATTAATACATACAAACATCGCTCACACCATTGTATTGTTACGTCAGCTGTGATGACGTCATTAAATCATATTGTGACGTAAAGTCCAAATGACGTCACAAATGAGCAGTTCCAGATGCTACCATGGGAGACAGCTGAAACGGCCGTCTGATGACATTTCACTGCTGTACCTGTACCGATGTCAATGAGTGCAGACACAAAAACGTGTTTGGACCTTCGGTTTACTTTTGTGTTTACAATGTCGATAACATCATAATGTTGTGATTGAATTTCGGGTGTTATTGAGTATTTGAAGCACGGAATATTTCATTTGAAACCTCCGGCTGACTGTCGGTTCCAAATGAATTCCCATGCTTCAAATACTCAATAACACCCGGAAATTGGCCAACACATGATGTTTATCTCCTAATTGTTACCTGCGTGGGTACAGGTGGTCATCCCCTAGGGGGCAATAAGCAGATAGATGATGTCTTATGAACTCTGAGGAACTACCGGTATGGATTTTGTGTCTCCAGAGTGGCATTAGTCCCAAGATTTGGGGAAGAAAAACAATCTGAAACTTCACAGAAGGAAGTCTGTTGTTAAGCTGACAATGTAATAAACAATGGATGATATCATATTATGTTTTTCAACAATAAAGCACTGGCTTGATACAGTTTCTACTGACCAATTAATCTACACTGTTATCACAATGTTATTACACATGATCTTGCCCCTACTATACATAACAAAACATAGTAACAACAAGTATATACCTCCTGTGGGCTTTGGTGGTAGCACTGGGACGTGATCATGGAGTGGGTAATCAATTACCCATGTAATGGGTATTACTGATCATGTTCATTTATGGTTGCTTCAAAATGGGTTTCAAAAGTGTTCTTCATATGTACAAATACTGCTAACTACCACTGGCCACATGTACTGCTTCACCTTGGTGTCAGTCAAAGTAGTGACCAGAATGATGACTGAGATAGCCACGGTCAGTAAACAGCCACAACTAACAACACTATTACATCAAACAAGTAAGTTACAACCAGCATCTTGCCATAATTACAAGATTTCTGCTCGCCACATGTAGGCTAGATTTGATGAAGAAGAGTTGTTATTTGCTGATGTGTGGTGACAGTGAAAGAAACAGAAGGATGAGATAAGTTGATGGAAGTGACACACGTCTAGGAAATGTCCTACACATGTAGTACAACATCATATTGCACAGAGAGTGGATCATTGTCCATGGAAATATCATCTAATCAGAGCTCGATGCAGTGTGGAGGATGTGCCCTTGGATGCAGATTTCTGGGTGGTCTTCTTCTTCTCATCAACTGCGAAACACTTCCACAGCCGTAGTGTCTCATCAGCGCCAGCAGACACCACGGTGGTGCCATCTGGCGACATGGCCATGTGGAGCACCCTTGCAGTGTGGCCTGTCAGCTCTGCTATCTTCGACATGGCAGGATATTTCCAGATGATCAGCTGATTCTGAGCAAACCCATGACTTGAGATGAGTTCCCTGTGCTCTGTCGACCACAGTAGAGCGCACACCTGAAGGAGCATTTAACACATGAAAACCACTGCCAGTGATATGTTATGTCAGTTCTTTGGAGAAACATTTAAATAAGAATGAGTGAGTGAGCACTCTGCAATATTCCAGCTATATGGCGGTGATCTGTAAATAATCAAGTCTGGACCAGACATTCCAGTGATCAACAGAATGAGCATCGATCTACATAATTGGTTTGGAAAAGAATTTTTCTCATATAATCTGAAACTTTTAATGCCTGATGTCAACAAGCAACTCCTCATGCAAATATAATTGTAATCTTCCTTTACTCTATCCTACATTGTACTGAGTGAACAACAGCATTTCTGCTGGAGATTTATACTCACCTGTGACTTGGTATCAACAGCATTCAGACAGGCCCCAGTGTTGCAGTTCCAGAAGCGAATGTGTCGGTCAGCCGTTCCCCCACCACTTGCCAGCAGGCTGGACTGCCATGGACACCAAGCCACAGCCTGCAACAACAGTATTACAAAACAACATTCATACCTATTTGTAGTGTTGATATTTCACACATTTCTTTATTGTCTTCCTTCAAAACCGAATCAGTATTTGTTGTACACTAATGTAAACTCATAATAGTTTTGTTTGTTTAGTGTTTATTGACGCACTCAGCAATATTCAAGCTACCGATATATGGCGCCAGTCTGTGAATAATCGAGTCTGGACCAGACATTCTAGTGATTAACAGTATTTATAAGCATTAATATATGCAAATTGGATACAGCATCAGACCTGCTACTTGTTGCTAGATTGTCCTGTGAATAAAGGCAACAGTTGTTGACAGACCTACACTGCTGCTGGTAGCTAGATAGTCCCGTGAATAAAGGCAACAGTTGTGGACAGACCTACACTGCTGCTGCTGGTAGCTAGATAGTCCCGTGAATAAAGGCAACAGTTGTGGACAGAACTACACTGCTGCTGGTAGCTAGATAGTCCCATGAATATAGGCAACAGTTGTGGACAGACCTACACTGCTGCTGGTAGCTAGATAGTCCCATGAATAAAGGCAACAGTTGTGGACAGAACTACACTGATGCTGGTAGCTAGATAGTCCCTTGAATAAAGGCAACAGTTGTGGACAGAACTACACTGCTGCTGGTAGCTAGATAGTCCCATGAAATCCCATGAATATAGGGCAACAAAGGCAACAGTTGTGGACAGACCTACACTGCTGCTGGTAGCTAGATAGTCCCGTCCCATGAATATAGGCAACAGTTGTGACAGACCTACACTGCTGCTGGTAGCTAGATAGTCCCATGAATAAAGGCAACAGTTGTGGACAGACCTACACTGCTGCTGGTAGCTAGATAGTCCCGTGAATAAAGGCAACAGTTGTGGACAGAACTACACTGCTGCTGGTAGCTAGATAGTCCCGTGAATATAGGCAACAGTTGTGGACAGACCTACACTGCTGCTGGTAGCTAGATAGTCCCGTGAATATAGTCAACAGTTGTTGACAGACCTACACTGCTGCTGGTAGCTAGATAGTCCCGTGATAGTGACAGACCCACTGCTGCTGGTAGAATATAGTCAACAGTTGTTGACAGACCTACACTGCTGCTGGTAGCTAGATAGTCCCGTGAATATAGGCAACAGTTGTGGACAGACCTACACTGCTGCTGGTAGCTAGATAGTCCCTTGAATAAAGGCAACAGTTGTGGACAGACCTACACTGCTGCTGGTAGCTAGATAGTCCCAGTGAATAAAGGCAACAGTTGTGGACAGTTGTGGACAGACCTACACTGCTGCTGGTAGCTAGATAGTCCCGTGAATATAGTCAACAGTTGTTGACAGACCTACACTGCTGCTGGTAGCTAGATAGTCCCGTGAATATAGTCAACAGTTGTTGACAGACCTACACTGCTGCTGGTAGCTAGATAGTCCCGTGAATATACCGTATACCAGGAAATTTTCAAGGTACTAAAATTTCGAGGTTTGAGACCCCCAGAGCTTTCGAGGTGATTTAAATTTCGAGGTTTGGGGCCTAAAATATATAAATATTTTAGACAATTTTAATTTCGAGGTTAGAAGAAAGTGGCCAGAAACATGACTTACTGGATTAATACTCACTGAGCTATCGGCAAAACTCCTAGTAGCCAGTGAAAACTGCCGTCTGACTGTTATAACTACCGGTAAACCAGTCCATGGCAGAAATAATAGTAATGAAAACAACCCTTTGATCCTTTGTTGTGATAAATGACCCATGAAACACTCTGTCGGCAGTGTTCAAACATGACGCCATTTTTTCTCAGACGATATTGTTTTTTTAACAACTAACTATAGGCATGTATGACGGGTCTCTTCTGAAACTATGTTGTTGTTAGAAAGCTGACAAGTTGACCTCTTTAGCGAAACTGACCAACTGCACGGATGCCTTACAGCCCCAGGATGTTTGTGTAAACAATCCCCTTAAAGACGCGCATTCATCAAACCTGGCATCGCTGATGCAGTCCGTTTGGCCAGAGAGTGACATCAAGTGTATTGACAGTTGGTTTGACTTCACATGTAAGACACTTGATTGAATTACCTATTTTTTGTAATGCATGTTATTCTGGACCAACAATTACAACACAATTAAATAGTCTCGACACCGCATTTCTGTTGTTTGTTTATTCAGGCCGTTCAGGGTCACTGAACGTTAAGATTAGTTGTAGACAGGCATTAAAGAGTTAATGCGCATGTCAGGAAGTCATTGGTTGCCAGCAGTTGAAATGCTTATCGATAGGAAATCTAACCCAAAGGTTTGAAGTTCGGAAAAATTCATGGATATAATATTTTCGAGGTTGCGTTTCTAACCTCGAAAACCTCGAAAATTAGATACCTCGAAAATTTCCCTGGAATATGATAGGCAACAGTTGTGGACAGACCTACACTGCTGCTGGTAGCTAGAGTGTACCGTGAATATATGCAACAGTTGTGGACAGACCTAGACTGCTCCTTGTAGCTAGATTGTACCATGAATATATGCAACAGTTGTGGACGTACCTTGACTGCTGCTTGGTGCTGGGAGAAGGAGTATAAGGGCTGAGTGTTTTCTGTGGACTGGCTACCCATAGCTGCTGACCAGATGTTGAGGATGTTGTCATTGCCACCGCTGGCGAGGTATTTGCCATCTGGAGACCACTTGAGACCACATACTTCCTGTGCATGCCCAGTGAGAGAGCCCACATGATGCTGAGCCATTCTCACATCGTGATGGTGGATGCTGCCACTTCTCGAACCACTGAAACAGGGGGAGCATGAGGAGCTGTGTACAAACTGCCAAACAGGAATGTAGGAGTTGAAGAGACAGTTAAAGATAAAGTCGAGAAGAAAATGAGTAACAGAACATGCTGAGTGATCAAGCAAGAGAAAGAGAGTAGGTGGATGGATTGAGTGGGTGGAGTGAGCGAGTGAGTTTAGTTTAACGCCGCCGTTTTACGCTGCACTATATGACGATGGTCTGTAAATAATCAAGTCTGCACCAGACAATCCAGTGATCAACAGCATGAGCATTGATCTGTACAAGTGGGAACTGATGACAGGTGTCAACCAAGTCAGCAAGCCTGACCACCCCGATCCCGTTAGTCGCCTCTTACGACAAGCATGGGTTACTGAAGATCAATATTCTAACCCGGACCTTCAGGATGGAGCGAGAAGGTAGATGGATTGAGTTGGTTGAGTGAGAGGGTGGATGGATTGAGTGGGTGAGAAGGTGGATGGATTGAGTGGGTGAAGTGAGAAGGTGGATGGGTGGAGTGAGAGGGTGGATGGATTGATGGGTGGAGAGAGGTGGATTGAGTGAGAAAGTGGATTGATTGAGTGGGTGGAATGAGAAGGTGGATGGATTGAGTGGGTGGAAAACGTGACAGAGCAAAGTGGTGGAGTGAGTGGGTTTATTAAGTGAGTGGGTGGAAAAAGTGAGTGAGCGAGTGAGATTAGTTTTCCGCCGCTTTTAGCAATATTCCAGCAATATCACGGCGGGGGACACCAGAAAAGGGTTTCACACATTGAACCCATGGAAAAAGTGAGAGTGGGTGGGTGGAGTGAGTGGATGGATGAATGAAGTGAGTGGGTGGGTGGGGTAGATGAAGTGAGAGAGTCAGTTGGTGGATGAAGTGAGTGGGTGGGTGGGGTGGATGAAATGAGAGAGTCAGTTGGTGTGTGGTGTGAGTGAGGGGGTGGATAAAGTGAGGGATTCAGTTGGTGGATGAAGTGAGAATGACTGGGGTGGAAGAAGTGAGAGTGTGAAGGGGGTGAATGAATTGAGAGTGTGAAGGGGGTGGGTGAAGTGAGCGTGTGGGTGGGGTGGATGAAGTGTGAGAGTGACTGGGGTGGAATAAATGAGAGAGACGAACGGAGTGTGCACCTGCTGAGGATGTAGGAGTTCCAGGAGAGGCTACCAACACGTGCAGCATGGCTCCGCATGCTCCGCAGCTTCTTCTGCTGCATCACATCCCACAACTGAAACACGCATTACAACAGGAATAGTTCAGGGAGCATAAGTTGTATCAAGAAATCGCTTATCAAAATTGATCCTGGTATTCCTGTTCTAGTGTTGCTGGAAGTGAGTGCCTGCTCCTCACACAGATATGCAGCTGATACTACCAGTCGACAGATACAGAACTTTCTTCAGATTCTTCCCAAGAGTATTCCTACATCATACACATAGGGATACTGTTTCTGTTGTGTGTCCTGTTACTTGGTGTTTGCCAAAGGCCTTTGTGGGTACTTGTCAACACTTGGCTCTCTGTACCATTTTCAGTGGAACTAGCTGTAATTATGTACCCTCTGACAAATCCGCAGTGCACGATAGAAGTCTACAACCCACCAGACCCAGTGTCTGACTGTATACACAATGACTTTGACTGAAGTTGATATGTGACATGTAACACTTGTTTGCTGTTTATTTTATCTCTGGTTAATAATTTCAAAATATAAGAAATGTTAAATCTGAAATGTGTGTTTAATTTTTATTCCATGGGTCCTGGAATTTTCAATGGGTCAGACAGACATCTTAAACTTACAGGGTGTCCTCTTTGAAACACCATTCGGAACACTGTAATTAGTGATGCTACACAACAGAACACAACTAACTCAGGCTTGAAAAATTTTAATCCACAAAGTTATGCTACTATTGTTTTAATACAAATATGCTAAGTCTATGCTAAAGTATGAGAGTTGAGTAGCTGGAAGTCTGATGTTAGTGGACTGAGTCCTGTACTGCAGATATGCCTGATATGTTGTCTACAAGAGGTTCTACTCCACTCTGGAGTCACAGCTGCAGACTGACCCACCCACCTGGACCTCGCCACTACTGGTGCCAACAGCTAGGTAGTTTCCCTCCTTGATCCAGGACACAGCACCAATGTACTCGTCCTGCCCATCCATTTGACACAGCTGGCTGATGTCGCCGCTACTGGCATTCCACAGGTAGACCGAGCTGCCCAGACACACCGCTAGGTAATTGTTCACTGACCAGTCCAGCAGGTTCAGGTCTGCCAACATCCAAGTCAGTCAGTGATAGAGTAGGGTTTTAGTTAAATATGAGAAAGATCAAATGATAGATCAAATGCGAAAGCTACTCTGCCATCAGGAATGACACTCAGCATTAAACACAGACTTTGTCTACATGACAGACAGTTTCATTGTATAAAATTTGAGAATCTGGAGGATTTCTTCATTACTCCCAGCTACGCTGTTTTACAGTCCCCGACATTCACACCTTCAGAAAGTGGTTATCATAACCATTTGATCATTATTCTTCACGGCTACAAAACACAGACATCTGTCCCTATTATCTGGTGTAATGTCTTGTAATAAGTTAGACTCTCTGTAGATCATGACTGATATGATAACTGGTTGGGATTACTAGCTAAACATTGTCAGGGGCCAGCTCAAAATAACAAAAGGACATGTACATTTTCCACCATGTTATATCCAACAAGGACAGAATGACACTTAGGAATGAAACTGTCACACTTAAAGCAGCTAATCGGACCTCGAGGCCAACTATATAAAAAAAACACACACCCCACCCCCCCACCGGATAAATCCAACCAAGTTGCAGTACTCACAATAATCATCTAGGATGTCTGGGGCATCGAGGATTCTCTCGGGTACTTGTGGAATGTGTCGTATTGTCTTCTTGGCACTTGCGGTGGTCTTGGTTGTACTGTACAACACCCTCAGGTTGTTGTTGTAGCCTGGGAACAACCACACAATGTCAAACACAGCAATCATTTCCCTTCTCTTCCATGCTCTCATAAAGCAACACACATTCTAAAACAATTCTAGCTGGTTAGACAATCTTCATGGCATTTAGGTGCTGGTAGCATCAGTGAAGGCAGGCTTGACATGCGGATTTCAGTCTTGCTATGCTTTACATGAGACGATTTGGTACAAATACTAGCATCTGTACTAAAACTTCCCACTGAAAGAATGAAGTGGTAAGACAGCATCAAAGCAAAAGAAAGTATTTCAAATATGCCAGGGATTTTTCATTAACTGCTTTCTTAGCATTATCCCATTCAAATAGGAGCAGTCTGTAAATAATTGAGTCTGCCCCAAAGAATCCAATGATGACCGAGTCTGATCTACTCAGTAGCCTCAGCTGACTGCCTCAGTTGATGAAACCAGCATTCATACCAGGATTCCACACAGGTAAAATTACCTTTGAATCCACTGATGAGATATATATGCATGCCTGTAGTGAGTTGGATGTTGCTGGACAACCCAGGAGTTTCCGTAAGGTGCATACAAAACAAATGATAATCAGGGTGTCCTCTGGTAATTAAAACGAGAGTAGTCTCCCACTCTGCTTAACACTGATACATCCAACAGGACCGATATATAAGAAGATTAATGATTGCATTAGAACATGTTCAGAGACAACCAATCACTGTACCTTCAGGTGCTTGAGGAGCTTTGCTCTTGTAGGCGATGATCTTGCTGTTGAGGAGCTCGCCATTGAGGTTGTCACTCATCACACGCTGGTACTCTTGCTGAGTTGGACTCAGAAGCTCATTGTCCTCTGGCTTCCCCTCGCTGACAATCTTATAGTGGCCCAACTCAAACTGGGTGGTAGCACGGTTGGGGATGAACCGGTCCCCTCCTGTAGGGGTCTTGGGGGCTTTACCGCCAGGAGTGCGATGTTTGCCTGTCATGTGTCACAAATAATATATTCATTTTTCTAAAACTAAGGTCAGAACCATAATGATACACATGATTAGTGTTCAAAACAAAGGTGTGGCCTTGAAGTTTGTTTTTTAACACTCCATTCAACAATACTCAAGCTTACTGCTAATGGCGGCCGATAAATACCACACAGTACACACGCCATTAGGATACTAAGTCAACACCCTCTGATCCACACACAACATAGTCCCCACAAACAACAGACACAGCCTGCTCAGACCTGGACTGCCCTGGATTCAATGCAGGTTCCGTAGGGCTTACACTATCTGCATCTAGCATGGCATGGTCCTCTGACATCAGGCTTACCACAAGGGGCCATGGACATTCTGAGACTGAGTACCCCATGACATATTTCCACATCTCATCAAACTGCTTCCTTACCTGAAGACTTTGGTGTTTTCTTGGTCTCTGTTGAAGGTGTTTTGGCTCCGGCACCCATGGATTTGTTGGCAGTCTTCATGGGAGTCTTGGCAGATGTGCTGACGTTGAGAGAGTTGTTGACTGAAATATTGCAGTCAGCATCCGTCTTCTTTGTCCATCGTGATGTGAGTGGCCCTCTTGTCCCACCAGCGATGGGAGCATCCATCCTCACCAAACTGCTCACCTCATTCTCCAGGTTGAAGTGAGACACTACATACACAACATGACCCTTTGAACATTACACCTAACAGATATTCACTTCTTTAGTGACTTACAATTTTTATTTTTATTGTCACTCATTTGTATAGGAATTCTATAGGTTTTAACAGTAACATGAGGATAACCTGCCTGTTGCTTAGTCAGATTGATTTACCTCTGTTATTCTGTCTGCCTGTAATAATGGGATGCAAGCTAAATGGAACCTATGTGATATCCACAGCAAACCAACCTGTGCTTCACTACACTTCATTTAAAAACATCACTGTTGGGAGCACCTTTAGAATACAGCACCACACCTTCTCGTGCGGACGATGATCACAAGCCTCATGCTAAATATTAATTTGGGTTTTCTTGTTTGAAATAACACTATGATAATCAAGAGATGAGATAAGAACAGGATAATATTTCATTGTATAATGTAATCATTCAATTAAACATGCGTTGAGATAGTTTATATATTGTCCCACCCATTGTATTGTATCTTGTGACATTTGTGTCCTTGGGCATATTGAAATGTGTAAAACCATGTCATCCTTTTCCACATTATCTGATGCAAATACGTTAAACAGGGCCTTGTTCTACAATGTTGTTAGTATTATTCAGGGCTGTTAACAGTGAAGAGAATATATAGGGTTCACCCGGGCAATACAGGCATGGTATCGTAGGACTATATACACTTTTGGACGTTTTCAGACACATCTATCTATCGCCCAAAATGCGGCATCATTTGGGAACTTGCGTGTAACCATAGCCTAGTTGGAGGTTTCGTTGACATTTACAACACCGATCATAATGCGCTGATGTGAATTGATGCTTGTATGGAGAAAAACATGGTTTTTATGTGCTTTGAGTGCTTAATTTTGAGGGGTGTTATTCCCAAAGCGGAAGCTCAACAATTACCCGTTCGAGGGATGTACCGAACTTGTATAATGTTTTTGGACAATTTTACTGAAAATCAATGACATAGATATTCAGTTTTTTTAATGAAACATCTTTTCCTGAACATGATATAAATTTGCATTTTGTCCAAAAAGTTATTTTTTCAAGCTGAGGAGGTTCATTAACTATTCATCTCTATGATCATATAAAACCATTTCGTGCGGAAATTGATAGTTTGTGAAATAATTAGAAAAATGTTCAAATATAAAATAGGCAGAACAGCCTATAATAGGCCGATCGGTAGGTTTTCCCAACCTGACTTCTGTCCGTCACAACACAGCTTGTCCTCTGGGTACTTTCATTATTGTGTCTCACTTTATGCTTGACCCCCAGGTCTATAATCATGATAATAGTCTACGTCATAAGGACGGGTTGGGTTGACAAGAAGCGTTTTCACTGAGAATATGACTTTAGTCACAATTTGTGTCAATACACAATGTGACGTTAATCAAAATATTACTGTTGGTCCACAACAGTTCACAGATCCGATCGCAGGTGAAAAAACTCTGGTTGGATATCAGACTAATAAATACTCACTTTTTTAAGCGTTGATAACTAAAACAAATATATTTTCTTTCATTCGATCTTTCCCGTCTCCCGTTCTCCTGCGTGTCTTAACATGAACGTAGCTTCGTTCTATGTTTAAGTTTACCGCTTTGTTATTGGCCAATCAATCGACAGAGCGAACGCTGATTGGTTGCTGAACAGGGGAGCTCAAAACAATCTGTATGAGATCTCAACGGTACTTTCCGAGATTTCCGGTTCCACGTTGTTGACATTTTGTAGGGTTACACGTGTGCTATTCAAGAAAGTGGACCCATTTGTTTCCAGGGTTGTTTGGACAATGAAAGTGTTTAAAAGCAGTCTATTCCATTACGATATGACACTCATAGTATCGTTAGCGATCAGTTTTATAGCAACATTTCCAGCTGCAACTTTATGCTTCGAAAATGAACAGGGCAGTGTTGCAGACGACACGAAATTTGATCCGTCGAAAAATTTCTACATGTATGACGTGTATGATCTGAAAGGAAAGCTGGTACCATTGAAAAGGTATATGGGAAAGGTTGGTTACATTTACGGAATAAGCATGTTAGATAGCTGGCTATGCATTTAGACTTCTACAGTGAGCTTAGGTCTGTGTTTGTGTTACAGATTTGTGGCATGTGTCAAAGATTTCGGAAACAAATGAGTTTCTTGTTTAATAACATCTAACATCATCAGCATTCCGCTGTAATGCATTACGACAACAGAAAGCGAAATCTATGAATGAATGATCCATAAATATATTGTCTCCTAGTTCATATGAATAAACTCGTATTCGAGCCAAGGCCTACATAGATCTCCCAAATAATGACCAAAGGCCTGATTACGCCCCCAACCCCCTCAAGGTGAAAATATATTCATTTGACTCTTAATTCCAAGGAATTTATCAAGTAATTTATTATCATGATTAGACATCAGTTTTAGTCAGGCCAGTCTAATTTTCCTTCCATTTGGTCTTTTGTTCGCCTTTCTTAAATTATTGCCACTCACATTTCTTTGATAATTAATCTCATCTGAAGATGTAAAGCAGACTAGTACTGATATGTAAAGATTTAGTCTCTCCATGTGATGGTCCATATATTTACCTAGTGTCTGTATTTCTGATGCATGCAAAAGTTATAACTAAACTGAAGTAAATATTGCATAGAAATTCATCTTTAGCACAAGTTGTACACTGTGTATTGCAGGTATCCCTGGTGGTGAATGTTGTACACTGTGTATTGCAGGTATCCCTGGTGGTGAGTGTGGCTAAAACTGAATGTTGTGCACTGTGTATTGCAGGTATCCCTGGTGGTGAATGTGGCCAGTGAGTGTGGCTAAAACTGAATGTTGTACACTGTGTATTGCAGGTATCTCTGGTGGTGAATGTGGCCAGTGAGTGTGGCTAAAACTGAATGTTGTGCACTGTGTATTGCAGGTATCCCTGGTGGTGAATGTGGCCAGTGAGTGTGGCTAAAACTGAATGTTGTGCACTGTGTATTGCAGGTATCCCTGGAGGTGAATGTGGCCAGTGAGTGTGGCTAAAACTGAATATTGTCCACTGTGTATTGCAGGTATCCCTGGAGGTGAATGTGGCCAGTGAGTGTGGCTAAAACTGATTATTGTCCACTGTGTATTGCAGGTATCTCTGATGGTGAATGTGGCCAGTGAGTGTGGCTAAAACTGAATGTTGTGCACTGTGTATTGCAGGTATCCCTGGTGGTGAATGTGGCTAGTGAGTGTGGCTAAAACAATGTTGTGCACTGTGTATTGCAGGTATCTCTGATGGTGAATGTGGCCAGTGAGTGTGGCTAAAACTGAATGTTGTGCACTGTGTATTGCAGGTATCCCTGGTGGTGAATGTGGCCAGTGAGTGTGGCTAAAACTGAATGTTGTGCACTGTGTATTGCAGGTATCCCTGGTGGTGAATGTGGCCAGTGAGTGTGGCTAAAACTGAATGTTGTGCACTGTGTATTGCAGGTATCCCTGCTGGTGAATGTGGCCAGTGAGTGTGGCTAAAACTGAATATTGTGCACTGTGTATTGCAGGTATCCCTGGTGGTGAATGTGGCCAGTGAGTGTGGCTAAAACTGAATGTTGTGCACTGTGTATTGCAGGTATCCCTGGAGGTGAATGTGGCCAGTGAGTGTGGCTAAAACTGAATGTTGTGCACTGTGTATTGCAGGTATCCCTGGTGGTGAATGTGGCCAGTGAGTGTGGCTAAAACTGAATATTGTGCACTGTGTATTGCAGGTATCCCTGGTGGTGAATGTGGCCAGTGAGTGTGGCTAAAACTGAATGTTGTACACTGTGTATTGCAGGTATCCCTGGTGGTGAATGTGGCCAGTGAGTGTGGCTAAAACTGAATGTTGTGCACTGTGTATTGCAGGTATCCCTGGTGGTGAATGTGGCCAGTGAGTGTGGCTAAAACTGAATGTTGTGCACTGTGTATTGCAGGTATCCCTGGTGGTGAATGTGGCCAGTGAGTGTGGCTAAAACTGAATGTTGTGCACTGTGTATTGCAGGTATCCCTGGTGGTGAATGTGGCCAGTGAGTGTGGCTAAAACTGAATATTGTGCACTGTGTATTGCAGGTATCCCTGGTGGTGAATGTGGCCAGTGAGTGTGGCTAAAACTGAATATTGTGCACTGTGTATTGCAGGTATCCCTGGTGGTGAATGTGGCCAGTGAGTGTGGCTAAAACTGAATATTGTGCACTGTGTATTGCAGGTATCCCTGGTGGTGAATGTGGCCAGTGAGTGTGGCTACACAGATCCAACAGTGTGGCTAAAACTGAAGGGTCTGTGTATTGCAGGACTCCATAATGAACTGAGTGTTCACTGAACCGACAGGTTCACTGGTGGTGAATGTGGCCTTGTGGCTAAAACTGAATGTTGTTCCCTGTAACCAGTTTGGTTCTCAAGAGCCTGGGGTTAGTACTGTCATTAGCTTATGATTGCATGTTGACAATAATCTAGAGCACTGATGCAGTAAGGCACTAAGGATCTCCTGACTAAGTGATGTGCATCTAATCAGTACTGTGGTGGCTGTTTGGCCAAGCTTGATCAAGTCATATCTGTGTCACCAAAGTTAAAAACTTTCAGTTTGTAAATACCCCCACTACATCATCAGGATATGGTAAAATTCCTGAAACTAATTTCTGCCCTTACCCATTCACAACCTGAACACACAACTACATCGTCAAGTATGCTACATAATGATAGTGCTTTGAATGAAGCTCTTGGGTAAAACAATATGTTGAAATATGAATTTAAAAATAATTCAAAGTATTGTTTTGCATATGGAGACAGACTGAGGAGAACATTTCACATTGACAGGGGTTCAAAAAAAAATTAAAAAGCCACTTGCCACAGGGCAAGTGACTTTAAGAAAGTAACTTGTCCTGACTAATTTTCCACTTGCCCTGATTTTATGACATAATTATGATGATGTAATTATGAAAGAAGAAATCAACATGGTATTTGATGTTAATGTTTACTGGACTATTTATTGAAAAGTGATAAATAGCAAAGAAAGATAACTCTACTTTATCATCATTGCGCGAAATTTAATAGCTACATTTTGAGCAGATATGAAATTAAATCAAAGTTTATTTGCAGTTTGAAACCATAAGTGGAAATTATCTAGTAGCCCACGGACAAGTAAGATACCATTATTTGATTGCCCGAAATGAAAACTGACTTGTCCCGGGCGATGGGATTTTTGAACCCCTGCATTGAGACCCAGGTTTTGTTTTAGAGAGATAAACATAAACAAAAAACCGTAAACTGAGCCCTAATCATGTTGAATTGAAACCAGCTAAACTTGTTTGTTAGCTGATCTCATGTCTGGAGCAAATAAAAACAGCAATAAGTATTTTTCTTATGTAGTGGTGGTGAATTTTTGTACTTACTCTTCCAGAGCAGTACTGACATCGACCAGTTTGTGAAGCGCAAGTACAAGGTGAACTTCCCCATGTTTGCCAAGGTCAACATCACTGGTGACAGTGTACCCGAGGCATGGAAACTGCTTACTGGTAAAATAGATCTTGTCTGTTGCTTGATGTTATTTACAAAAACTATATCAGTTATGCCCACACACCCCAATCAATTGCTAGTGAACACAGGCATCTTTCCTGATACCATGTTGTTACGGTTAGCATTGCAACAATCACACAATCTTGAGTCAGGTTTGCCAGCTGAGTATTTTGTTTCTGCAGATGTTTGTAGTGCCTTTGTTTTGAAATACATGATTGTCAAAGTAGTTCTCATGTCATTTTCAAGTCAGCTTCACACAGTGTGTGTGTGTAATGGGTTTCCGTTGGTTTCTATTGTACAATGCGAATTTAGCAAGCGTCTAAATCTCATAATTTTAGAGTGTGAAAATTATGACAAGGAACTTAATTCTGAAGACTGATTGTGTTGATTAATGCATTGTTATTGTTGATATTTTAGCTGAGGCGGGTAAATCCCCCACATGGAACTTCTGGAAGTACTTGGTCAATGGCAAGGGACATGTGGTTGATGCCTGGGGGCCCTGGGTAGATGTTGATGACATCAAAGGAGCTGTACTGGATGCAGTGGAAGAGTTAATGCCCTTTGATCTTCCGTACCAGGCACACCATGATGACCATGAACACGACCATGAAGAGTTGTGAGGAGATCCGTGTGTGAAACCAGGGCCACAAGACAAACACTGAGTAACATTGTCTTGATGCGTCATCTCATTCCATTGAAATATACAATAGTTTTATTACTATTAACATGGTAACCCAACAATCTGCTCATCAAAAGCAGCAAAATTTGTATGCTTTAAATGATGAAGGACAGGAAATTGTAATCATTAGTATGAGGTTACAAGTTATTTAATTGGTACAACAGTGGCCTGTAAATTGTAAATGTTGGGCACCAGTTAATTGTCTGGAAATGTTCGTCTGGTATTATTGTATATTTCTCTGTCACTTATAATCTTTAATTCCAGATGGTATTTTTGAGGGAAACATTTTACGTCCATGTGTTACTTAGTTTCAGTGTAGATCTTTCCACAAAACTGTGTTCACCAAAACTTACTGAAGATGAATTTGGTGAATACACTAAGTAATTTGTTTGCTACGAAAGTAAGCATTTAAAATTAAGTTATCATCTGTGAAGTGGGGTTTTGGTAAAACTAGAAACTTGTCTTAGTGTGACCCTTGTAAACAATATTTACAAATTTCACAATGACCTCTATAGTGTTGAATATTGACTGTTCCATTAGGGAGAAACTATTTCTTTCTACTCACCATGTTCCAGTTTAAGCAGAAGCTTGTTCATGAATTACAAATTGAAACCTAGTACAGTGTATAGTGAGAAGTGACATCTGAGTGTACAATGAGGTATTGTTTCTTTGGGGTTCCATGTTTTGGGACATATGACTTGAATCCTTTTCGTTACTTAGTATTATCATTATGCCACCTATGTAGTCGATAGACTCTGTTGTGTGCATCAACCCAAGGAACGGAACTCAACAATGATTGAAAGGGATCTTATGTGACCACATTCTGTTGTTGGCACGGTTACTTGTTAAAATTATTTCTACTAAAGTCTTCCCTTAATGTTAAGGCATGTTAATGCAAACAATATAAGACAAAAGACTACACCTTTCTACTGAAAAGTCCCATGTATGTTGAGATAATTTCAGGGAATCCATAACTGTTTTTTATGATCACTGCCAATCCCATGAAGAGATGAAATAGTTGCTCCATGTACCTTTCCAGGGATGTGCCTTCTGTTTAATTGATGGTGGCATCAGTGGTAGTGTTGTCACTGTCAACGCTTGGTGCTGTCTCCATGTTTGTCTTTTCCGTCCATTTACTGCTCATAATCAAAATATCATGTACTAACTTTTGATCCTTTTGATGATTTTTGTCCTATTATTTGCCTGTTATTTGTCTGATTTTAATAACACACTCATGCGGTGTTGTGATGCTGCTATTTACTATTGCATATTTACTCTAATGGCGACTTCATTGTGTCCAGTGTATTTCTGGGCACAGTATTTGGTATGTTCATGATGTCAGTATCCTGTTTTATTACATAACTACTTAGTCATATGATAGCAAAACAGCATTGTAGTACAGCCAGCTGGGGCAAAGTCCATGTTATACTCTGATTTCTGTATTGCACAGCTGCCAGATCTTGAACTTGGCCTTGAACTTGAACACTACTTTTCAAAATCATTTTACATGCAATGCAACCTCTAAAGAGTGTCCCAGAAGAAATGAACGATTGAAACATAGTTTATGAATGGAAGTTTATTTGTGTCAGATATTATTCTGTTGTGTGTCTTTCGTGATCAGAACCTGACACTAGATTGATGATATTAAGCGAGGAATGTCATGTCATATCTACAGGTGTGATACCCCTTGTGCTGAGTGATACTCAGGTCAGAGTAAATTCAATGCAGAAGTTTCAATAGTACCACTTAGAGTCAGATTGATAGTCTTTGCCATGAACAGGGTATGTGATACATATAGAACATCATATCCTAAGATGTCCTGGTAGGAGAGGAACAACTTGTTCATCAAACTCATTGTTCCTCTCCCCCCCCCCATTGCCTCTTGTTATTCAATACATCAGGTCCACTAGTATCCTATATATGCAGGCATTGTAGGTGGTGTGTCACAGAAGTACTTATGCAGCCCCCAACACAGTATTATCACATGTGCCAAATATTATCCTGATATTTTAAGACACATTGATGGTCTATTTACCTAATGTGACTAAAGAATAAATGTTTTTACCTTCATCAATATAGCTTTTTGTAATGCTAGCTGTGTGTGTGATCTCTGGGGTTATCCCCGGCATGTAATGCAGGGGGATATAGTCGTCGCATCGTCCTTCTGTCCTCCATCCTCCGTAATCTCTGTCGAGCATCTCGTTGAATATTTTTCAACAAAACTTGGTAGATATATCAAACAAAACCTAAAGTGGTGCCTTTGCTATTTGCAGGTTTATGTCATTTATATTTTCTTGGTTTCCATGGAAAACGTTTTGGACTTAGTCTCAAATATAGTCGTTTCCTCACAACTTCTGTTAAGTATTTGTCAAAACTTAGTAGATATATCAAACAAATCCTAAAGTGGTGCCTTTTGCTGTTTTCAGAATTTTTATTTTAATTTTTCTTGGTTTCCATCAGTTGAACTTTTTGTTTCCGGAGCATAACTCAATCGTTCTTCGACTTGGTAGGTATATCAAACATAAGCTAAAGTGGTTTTTGCTATTTACAGTTTATGTAATTTTTTGTTTTCTTGGTTTCCATGGAAATATTTCAAACTTAGTCTCAAAAGGAGGGATTGGTTTCGTTTCTGGAGCACAACTCAAAAACCGTTCAATATTTTTCAACAAAACTTTAGATATATCAAACATTACAGATTATTATTTCATTTTATTTTTATTTTTTCCCGGTTTCATGGAAACGTTTTGGACTTAGTCTCAAAAAGGAGGGATTGGTTTCTTTTCCGGAGCATAACTCAAAAACTGTTCAGTATTTTTCAACAAAACTTGGTAGATGTATCAAACAAAACCTAAATCATGAAAAATAAAAATGCCAAAAATCTGCAAATAGCAAAAGGCAATACTTCAAGATCTGTTTGATATATCTACCAAGTCTTGTAGAAAGATATTGAATGGTTTTCAAGTTGTGAACCGAAAGAAACCCATCCCTCTCTTTTGAGACTATGTCCGAAACGTTTCCATGAAAACCAAGAAAAATAAAAATGCCAAAAATCTGTAAACAGCTAAAGGCACCATTTTAGGTTGTGTTTGATATATCTACCAAGTCTTGCAGAAAGATAATGAATGGTTTTCAAGTTGTGCTCCATGAAAACCGAAGCTGTAAACAGTTTCACCGCCCTCTTTGAGACTATGTCCCAAAACGCTTCCATGAAAACCAAGAAAAATAAAAATGCCAAAAATCTGTAAATAGCAAAAGGCACCACTTTGGGATCTGCCTTATATCTGCCTAGTTTTGCTGAAATATATTAAGAAGTTTTTGAGTTGTGCTCCGGAAACAAAGCCAACCCTCCCTTTTGAGACTATGTCCGAAACGTTTCCATGAAAACCGAGAAAATAATAACTCACAAAAATCTGTAAATAGCAAAAGGCACCACTTTAGGTTCTGTTTGATATATCTACAAATTTTGCAAGAAAAAAATGAATGGTTATTGAGTTGTGCTCCGGAAACGAAGCCCACCCTCCCTTTTGAGACTATGTCCAAAACGTTTCCATGAAAACCGAGAAAAATAAAAATGACCAAAATCTGTAAATAGCAAAAGGCACCACCTTAGGTTCTTGTGTGATATATCTACCAATTTTGATTGAAAAATATTGAACGTTTTTTTGAGTTGTGCTCTGGAAACAACATGATTACAGACGGACGAGGCGTCAACTATATCCCCGCATTACATGCTGGGGGTGGGGTGATAAAAATGCTCTGTCGCAGGCCAGCATTTGTAGCTGAGACATGGCTTTGTGAAATAAACCTCTCGACTACTTGGGTATTAAGGCCTCTCGACTGCCAACTTGGTTGTCCCTGGCTACTTGACCTCCAGGACTAGTGGTGCTGCCAAACACCGATTTCAAGCATAAACAAGATTACATTGGCATCAAATGGTTTTATTCATGAACTCTTACAAAACCTTGAGTCTGTGTCCATTGCATTCTCACAAGGTGATCAAAACCACCACTCTTTTTCCAAGTTTTGTGATGGCCTCTCATTCTCAGCAGATGGCAGTAGCTACAGTCTCATCAGTTTACAACACCACAACACAGATGTGGCAACCTGACCCAAACACCTCACTTGTACAAAACAACTAATGATCCTGCAGTGATTGTGACCCAAACTTGATTGTTGGCTGAAGAAGCAATATGTATGGGTAAGGTTCTACATCTATTGCACTGCCTTTGAATAAAACCATTCACAAATACTTCAACTCACATTAATAATCAGATCATGTCATAACAGAGGCACAGTACAAAGCAGAAATATATTTTGGAAATACTTTCGCTACCATTTGTCTTATCAAATGAAAGTTCTATGTGTTTTGTAATGTGCCCCACCTTGTGATGAAAGATGAGCATGCATACAAAATTTATGGTGAAGAAAATGAATGATCTCTGCCCTATGTTGTCCCTAGATGTCCAGCGATGCCCCAGTTCTAGCTTCCTGCATTGGGAGACCGCCAGGTTTTATCCCAAATGCTTTCATTTACACTGGCCTCTTTCTGGACAGGTAGGAGGGCCATAGTGACAGAGGGAGAAAGATACAGGACAACTGATAAGAAGCTTTTATATGTGCGACATTCACTTTCATTTTCAGGCATATGATCGTTTGGAATTAACAATATATAGTGTAGGGTAGGAAAGTGGAAGATTGTGACAGATTACTGTCATTCTGTGCCTGTTCCAATGGGTCACTGTCAAGGAGAACCAAGAGGGGTGGTCATTGCTGAGGTCATTGTCATGTGACTCGGGAGCTGAACCAACTACTCTCCGATCACACTCAGGTGGAGGGAGAGGAGACACGTGAGTTGTCACCTTGTCACTGTCAGGATTCTAAACCAGATGGTCAAGAACAGGAGATGGGAGAAGAGCTGGATTGCCCTTGTCATTGTCAAGAGCCTGCAAGTCCAGATGGTCAGTCTCAGGACTGTGGCCGAGTCTGACACAGTCATGAAACAGAGCCGGATTCCTGCGCCTGTCACTGGTACAGTGGACCTGGTCCACTAGTGACCTGCCCTTGTCACTGTCAAGATGACCCCAAACCTGAAGGTCATTGTCAAGATGATGGATTTTGTCCTGAGCTGTGTTGTCACTGTCAGCTACCCCCCAAACCAGCTGGTCACTGTCAAGTGGAGGGTGACCCGTCAGACGTCTGAAGCTGTCACTGTCAGGAGGACCCTGTACCTGGTCAACGACAGGAAGCTCCTGTTCTTGGTCACTGACAATTGTGACCTCCTTCTTGACACTGTCAGCACTCAGAGCCACTGGGGCAGCTTCAGCGACGAGCAACTGTTGAAGATCATGATCAAGTGCCATGTCTAAAACGACACTCGCAGTCACCGCCAGAGGCTGGTCAGTTACATCTGGATTCTGAGACTGCGGGTCACTGACAACGTTTCAGTGACAGATCACTCTGCTGACGTCACTGTCACCTGTTCTGAAGACGTCAGGGTTTGGATTTAGGAGACTGATGTCTGCAGGCCTGACAGAGACATCTCTCCCTTAGAGCTGGAGGTGGACGATGTCAGGAACATCTCCAGCCCACGGGACGACTGTCACCAAGGTCAGCCAGCTGCTGGTAACACGATCATCTCCGGCTCGACTCGTGCGAGGAGCACAGACAATCATGAGTAGGTGTACGGGTTGTGGAAGGGGCACTGGGTCAGGCTCAGTGCTGCCTATGGCGATGTGCAAAGTTATCTCTGTTATGGTTCAGCCTGTTCTGACGTCGCAGTCTTCTCAGAATCCTACACAAAAGGTCTTGACATCTGGGGGATCTCGAGGGTAGACGTTCTACGGTAGGATCATCTCCCTGCATCTGATCATGGGGGTTGGTTTGATGACGAGTTGAGGAATGGTCGTGATGGTGATGTCTCCGACCATGATGGCGTTGATAATTGAGCCGACAGTAGCATGGGCTGTCATAGTAGGTGGTCCAGAGTGCCATCTGGGTGTAGTGATAGCGAAGGATGGTCATTGGGAATTCAATATGGTAGGTCTGTTGTCCACATCTAGAACAAGAAAATAGATTTTACAGTTATTTCGGTGTTACTTTTAAGTTAAAACAGACGAGTGGTTTCCCAGGTGATCCACAAAGTCGGAGGACAGTTAGTTCCAAGATTCACACGTGAAGTCCAGCAATGGATTAATTGGCCAGAAAGCGTTTGGTAATCTAGTTCAACTTTGAACCCAAAATTCTCCTGTTTCCCCATCGGCATTTATATAACAGAGAAACAGCGCCTTAACGAAGTCACCAGACCTTCGAGCCGACCCACTCAGTGAATGGTATGAGAGCTGTCATTTCACAATGAATAAGTGTTGGATCAAGTTTCTATAGATTCTTATTTCTAATGGCAATGTGGGAAGATAGTTTAGTTGGTTGCCGACCTGTCAAATATGAAGAAATCGTCCTTGTGGCCGCCGTAGACTCGCTCCCAAAGTCCGAGGTGCGGAGTGTCTTGGTAGACAGGGAAGGTGACCAGTCTGGCCAGCTGGTTGTACATGAGGAGGGAGCCGTTGCTGTAGTCGTTGATGATGATCATGTTGATGTCGGGCATGCCGTGATCAGCAAACAAACCACGGAGAATTTCCAGACTGAAGGTGAATGAGTGAGTGAATATTCTGTTATCAGCTGTTACACAGTTCACATACAGGTACACATCATATTCCTACTGAAATTGGGGGCTATAACCTTCAGGCCATAGTGTTAATCCATTGGAGCCAACACCAGCTTCGTCTGGAACAGTGCAACACAAACGTAAACTTCCAACAAAATTACTCTGACGGGCGTGTAATCGTCTGTGACAAGTTAAGAAAGGTAACGTTGAAGTTGCGGAGAGGCGTCTGGGGTATTATCAGAAACAAAGCCCCGGCAGAGAGGCGTCTGGGGTATTATCAGAAACAAAGCCCCGGCAGAGAGGCGTCTGTGGTGTTTATCAGAAACAAAGCCCCGGCAGAGAGGCGTCTGGGGTATTTATCAGAAACAAAGCCCCGGCAGAGAGGCGTCTGGGGTATTTATCAGAAACAAAGCCATGGCGGAGAGGCGTCTGGGGTATTTATCAGAAACAAAGCTATGGCGGAGAGGCGTCTGGGGTATTATCAGAAACAAAGCCCCGGCAGAGAGGCGTCTGGGGTATTATCAGAAACAAAGCCCCGGCAGAGAGGCGTCTGGGGTATTTATCAGAAACAAAGCCATGGCGGAGAGGCGTCTGGGGTATTTATCAGAAACAAAGCCATGGTGGAGAGGCGTCTGGGGTATTTATCAGAAACAAAGCCATGGCGGAGACGCGTCTGGGGTGTTTATCAGAAACAAAGCCATGGCGGAAAGGCGTCTGGGGTATTTATCAGAAACAAAGCCATGGCAGAGAGGCGTCTTGGGTATGTATCAGAAACAAAGCCATGGCGGAAAGGGGTCTGGGGTATTTATCAGAAACAAAGCTATGGCGGAGAGGCGTCTGGGGTATTTATCAGAAACAAAGCTATGGCGGAGACGCGTCTGGGGTATTTATCAGAAACAAATCCATGGGTAATGGAGGATGCAGTCAGACGTCAAGAGATGAACATACATTTTATCACTGTATTGTTGTAACCAAACACAGCGACACTTACCCTGCGGCCTGGGTTCTACAGAAGGATCAGCTGGCCTTTAGCAGCGCCACCAACGTCACATTGCCGCGCAACTGCTCCATCGGCCGCACACCATCTACCGACCACGACGCGGGTCGGGAGCAGTCGAGGGCCAGGGCAGGAGGGGCGAGGACGAAGATGGCTGCTAAAGCCAGCAGAGCCCGTGGGCTCCGCATAGTGGCGTGGACAACCTGGAGACAAACAGCCATGTTACTCATGTCACAAATCACATACATGCTCGTAGTAAACCAAGATCAAGGTAGATCTTACCTTGTCAACAAATACAGGCACAAAGGGACGTGATATCATTGGTATTCAAGTAGTTTATGTGTGAATACTGAGTACATACTCCCAGTTCGATCTGTGACGTCAGGAGGAGGTCATACTGAAAATTGGATCCGAACCACTTCAATAAGCCACGGTGTAACCATTTGTTGTTGGTTCTGGTTCACTGGTTCTGGGTATATCAAAGTCTGATGGTGCTTTAAAATGTATTTGAGATAATAATCGTTCAAGATCCAAAAGGTTGGACAAAGACGAAGAAGGATATAAATTGGGTTTACAATTTGAATTTTGTGGCAGCCAAGCTGAGAAATGTATTCCAACCTCTTGAGTTAGCTGCATCATGGCAGGGACAAGTTTGTGAAGTTGTGAAGTTTCATCTTCACTGGATCGATGGTATCTCACATCATGTTAACAATGCAAGCATTACATATGTAGCAAATGTCATAAACAAAATAGAGAAACGGACATAAACAGACATACTGGAAATTCGATTCGAGTCGCTTGAAAGTGTGGTGTCGTGGGCAGGGAGCAGGTTCAGTGGGTCCCCACGGACGGCGGACGGGGTTTAAATTGTCCAGTATGGCTGCTGGCTGGCTGACATATCTGATTTTGGATTGAGATGCCAGGAAGTGACGGGTAACTAAATACAGTGACCTTGGAGGACCACCTCCTTCTTAAAGCCGTCCAGCTGCCATACTGAGACTGCAATTCTGATGCCTTGAACTAACTTGAACTCCCGTAGAGTAATATAACTCAAGATTTACCACTGACTCTATTGAGAGGTTCACAACGATGGTCCACATAAACTTTCAACTTTTCAGACAAGAGAGGTTATTAGTGTAAAGTTACTGCGGTTATCAGTTGTGATAAGATGGAGCTGAGATGTAATCCGTTGGATACTGATCCACTAGGACGTATCTGACCTACATGAAGTGGATAGACACTGGATACATGTACCAACAACACAACTATATATATCTCATGTTAATGGCAAACAAGCATATATGTAGGCTACATAGAGTATGACACCCAAATGCTATTTTGAATAAATAATTGCTTCATGTGAGCTCACTGCACAGGGCTCGAGATCCACGAGGTGTCTCCATGCTGGCAATATTTACTGTATACAGGTGTTATTTAGGATTGTTGTGTAGATCAGGTCTACCTGTTGGTGGGTAGATCACGTGCACATAGCGTGACCAGGTCAACGACTAGTCAAGGTCATTCTGCAGGCACTCACTGGATTTTACGAGGCCTGTATCAGTTTCAAGGTTGGTTTTCTTTTATTAGTATGTTTCAACTATGAACGTTTTACAACCGGTTGGCTGTTGATTGTGCTTTGAGCAGCACTGCAATGTACAATCATCAACTGTTTGAGAGGCATTCTAGAAGTTGTAAGCAATAGGAATGACAAGTGTTTATGGATGATCAACTTCTTTATTGTACAATCAGAGACCATATAATAGATTATATGGTCTCTGGTACAATTGCGTACACCGTTTTCAATAACCAACTTTAAAGAGCCTCGTCTAACCATCATCGTGTAGGATATAGCTGTTAAGCGCATGGCTGACTGTAAGGGGGTAAACTAAAGCATGTGTAGAGTTTTCACTGGAACCCAAAATGTTGCATGTTACAATGAACGAAGGTTCAGGTTGTGAAATGTGGAGAGGGGCAAAATACGGGTCTCGCCTGGAGGGTCCCTCATCCCAGTCGGTTCAGTGAACGCAGGACCCGCTTTAAAAGAATGCGTTACTAACTGCTCTTCATGTGACTGGCGGGTATTAATATTCTATAGATTGTTTAGCAAGTTGTTAAGCTCCTTCCAGATGGCAGCTCTTACCTGTGTGTAGCGCTCGATGTGCCCTTGTTTTCCAGCGACCAACTCGCACGAAATGAGGAGATGATGAGTGCCCCAGCTGATATGTGCTGGCTGGCTCGTGAACTTTAACCCTTAACCCCTTATCACGGGATCTACTTGGCATCTGGGTCTTATATAGAACAGTTGAATGTATGGTATACCACATGTATGAAATGGTCAAATGTATGTTATATCACATGTATAGAACAGTCAAATGTATGTTATATCACATGTATAGAACAGTACGAATGTATGTTATACCGCATGTATAGAATAGTAGGAATCCATGTTATAACACACGTATAAAACAGTGCGAATGTATGTTATAACACATATATAGAAAAGCGAATATAACAGTGCGAATATATGTTGTTCGGCGTGTATATAACAGTGGGAATATATCTTGTTCCACTTGTATAGAACAGTGGGAATATATGTTGTTCCACACATATAGAACAGTGGGAATATATGTTGTTCCACATATATAGAACAGTGGGAATATATGTTGTTCCACATATATAGAACAGTGGGAATATATGTTGTTCCACATATATAGAACAGTGGGAATATATGTTGTTCCACATATATAGAACAGTGGGAATATATGTTGTTCCACATATATAGAACAGTGGGAATATATGTTGTTCCACATATATAGAACAGTGGGAACGTATCCGTGTCAGCAGTTAAACAGTCAATGTAACAATAGCTGAGGGCCTCTGTCAGCCTGTGTAAAGGGCAAAGTTGTTGTTGACGTGAAACTAGACCGAACATGCCCGATCAACACTGATACCGTGTCACGGGGGGCGGCCAGTGTGCTGGGGACACCAAACAAGGGTCCAGACAAGGCTACATATTATCCCTTCCACTTTGAAAAAGATGAAAATAAATTGATAAAAGACCGTATTCGCACATATATTTATGACTACCATACATAAATGTATAGGGTTTTTTGTATACTATACGATATCATTGATGAGATTTAGGTGGACAACAGCGGGGCATGTTTACAGGTGTTGCTATAGGAGCCTGTGCTGAGCCTGTGCTGAGCCTGTGCTGAGTCAAACATAGTCTTCACAACAAGGTAGATCTATCGACTGAACACGATTAATCAGATATCGAAAAGAGAATATAATTTTCTATTCAACGCTACCCTGATATTTCTAAATGATATGTTGTTTGATAGGCACCTCAAAGGGTTGGAAAATGACAAAATAGCAATTGTATGGGTTACAACTTCTTGAATTTTATGTGGAGTCGTTCCGGTATGGGTCCTGATACCGGTATCAGGCTGAATGATGTGAGAATGGATATACAAGACATCAGATTCCTCAGATTGGTGGGGTTTTTTTTTGCTAAGTCTGAATACATGTAATAGCCACCCCACACTTTACATATAGCTACTGAATAGACAGCAGTACATCCATTATAAACTAGCTTTTCAATGACTGGACTTTTACGCCTCAGAATACGAATTTGCTTATAGAATGTATTTATTATCGGCGTCGTATGTTTGTTCTAGTTCTGTGCGTATTCCCATACAATCACCTGAAGAAAGGGCTAGAAGTAGTCCAGAAACGTCGTGTAACACAACAAAGAAGAAGTTGCCATCCATATACTCGTCTTAAATTCACTGTTTTGGTTTTGGTTTTCGGTGTAAACGTCTGAATTCCCTTTTTATAGGATCTGAATAAAATGTTTTTAAAAAACAAGAAAATTCACACAAGGAGTTTGCCAACACAACAACAGCCTTTATTGTTGTGTTTCTGTTTACTTGAGTCCACAAGACGGCGTCAAAGTCAGTACTTTGTATGGCCACCATTGGCAGCAATTACTGCTCGGCACCGTCTCGAAGCAGTCTTTCTGCAATGCGATTGCCAGTTGCGGAAGTGTTTGAGGCTTATTTTGACGTTGACGTCCACGTCGATCGAGTTGATCCCACAGGTGTTCTATCGGGTTTAGATCTGGTGATCGGGAAGGCCATTGCAAGACAATGGCGTTAGAATGGCAAGGTAGTGGACATACTGAAGTATGTGAAGTAGCGTTGTCATGCTGGAACAACTCCCTCTGTCGGCCCATAATCGGAAGCATGTGACGTGCAAGGACTTCGTTGACGTACCGATTTGCTGTCAAATTCCCCTGAACCACAACTAACTCAGATATTCGTGTGCTGGATATCGCACCCTACACCATGATCCTGCCTCCACCGAATCTGTCGACCTGTCGAATGCAATTAGGGGCATTATAACGTTCATTTCTCCGACGGTAAACACGCTGTCTTCCATCTCGAAAGGTGAAGAAGAAATCGTGATTCATCACGGAACCGGACTCTACGACACCACGTATGAGAGCAGGTTATTCACTTAGATGTGCCTTAAAGTCTTCTATGACAGCAGGTTATTCACTTATATGTGCCTTAAAGTCTTCTATGACAGCAGGTTATTCACTTATATGTGCCTTAAAGTCTTCTATGACAGCAGGTTATTCACTTAGATGTGCCTTAAAGTCTTCTATGACAGCAAGTTATTCACTTAGATGTGCCTTAAAGTCTTCTATGACAGCAGGTTATTCATGTGCCTTAAAGTCTTCTAGATGTGCCTTATTCAAAGTCTTCTATCTTCTATGCAAGTTATTCACTTAGATGTGTGCCTTAAAGTCTTCTATGACAGCAGGTTATCAACTTAGATGTGCCTTAAAGTCTTCTATGACAGCAGGTTATTCACTTAGATGTGCCTTAAAGTCTTCTATGACAGCAAGTTATTCACTTAGATGTGCCTTAAAGTCTTCTATGACAGGTTATTCACAGCAGGTTATTCCTTAGATGTGCCTTAAAGTCTTCTATGACAGCAGGTTATTCACTTAGATGTGCCTTTAAAGTCTTCTATGACAGCAAGTTATTCACTTAGATGTGCCTTAAAGTCTTCTATGACAGCAGGTTATTCACTTAGATGTGCCTTAAAGTCTTCTATGACAGCAAGTTATTCACTTAGATGTGCCTTAAAGTCTTCTATGACAGCAGGTTATTCACTTAGATGTGCCTTAAAGTCTTCTATGACAGCAGGTTATTCACTTAGATGTGCCTTAAAGTCTTCTATGACAGCAGGTTATTCACTTAGATGTGCCTTAAAGTCTTCTATGACAGCAAGTTATTCACTTAGATGTGCCTTAAAGTCTTCTATGACAGCAGGTTATTCACTTAGATGTGCCTTAAAGTCTTCTATGACAGCAGGTTATTCACTTAGATGTGCCTTAAAGTCTTCTATGACAGCAAGTTATTCACTTAGATGTGCCTTAAAGTCTTCTATGACAGCAGGTTATTCACTTAGATGTGCCTTAAAGTCTTCTATGACAGCGAGTTATTCACTTAGATGTGCCTTAAAGTCTTCTATGACAGCAGGTTATTCACTTAGATGTGCCTTAAAGTCTTCTATGACAGCAAGTTATTCACTTAGATGTGCCTTAAAGTCTTCTATGACAGCAGGTTATTCACTTAGATGTGCCTTAAAGTCTTCTATGACAGCAGGTTATTCACTTAGATGTGCCTTAAAGTCTTCTATGACAGCAAGTTATTCACTTAGATGTGCCTTAAAGTCTTCTATGACAGCAGGTTATTCACTTAGATGTGCCTTAAAGTCTTCTATGACAGCAGGTTATTCACTTAGATGTGCCTTAAAGTCTTCTATGACAGCAGGTTATTCACTTAGATGTGCCTTAAAGTCTTCTATGACAGCAGGTTATTCACTTAGATGTGCCTTAAAGTCTTCTATGACAGCAGGTTATTCACTTAGATGTGCCTTAAAGTCTTCTATGACAGCAAGTTATTCACTTAGACGTGCCTTAAAGTCTTCAATCACAGCAAGTTATTCCATTAGATGTGCCTTAAAGTCTTCTATGACAGCAGGTTATTCACTTATATGTGCCTTAAAGTCTTCTATGACAGCAGGCTGGGCGCGGTCAGAGATACGGAGGAGAGAAGCGAAGTGCTGAGTTTGCTAAATGTCACTTTGGGACATTCATTCTTTCTTTCATTATATTCATACACTATAAAATGATTTACATGATGGTGAGTTCTTTCCTGTTTCATGTAACTTTACCATTAACGTCCCCAGCATGCCTGCACGTACATGGAAAAATCCTGCATGTGTTCTGGAGAGAAAAGAATCCTGCATGTGCTGTGGAGACACAAGAGATGAATACCTGCATGTGTTGTGGAGACACAAGAGAGGACTCCCTGCATGTGGCGTGGAGACACAAGAGAGGACTCCCTGCATGTGGTGTGGAGACACAAGAGATGAATACCTGCATGTGGTGTAGAGACACAAGAGAGGACTCCCTGCATGTGACGTGGAGACACAAGAGATGAATACCTGCATGTGGTGTGGAGACACAAGAGATGAATACCTGCATGTGGCGTGGAGACAAGAGAATCCTGCATGTGGCGTGGAGACACAAGAGATGAATACCTGCATGTGGTGTGGAGACACAAGAGATGAATACCTGCATGTGGTGTGGAGACACAAGAGATGAATACCTGCATGTGGCGTGGAGACAAGAGAATCCTGCATGTGGCGTGGAGACACAAGAGATGAATACCTGCATGTGGCGTGGAGACACAAGAGATGAATACCTCTGCATGTGGTGTGGAGACAAAGAGAGAATCCTGCATGTGGCGTGGAGACACAAGAGATGAATACCTGCATGTGGTGTGGAGACACAAGAGATGAATACCTGCATGTGGCGTGGAGACACAAGAGAGGACTCCCTGCATGTGACGTGGAGACACAAGAGATGAATACCTGCATGTGGTGTGGAGACACAAGAGATGAATACCTGCATGTGGTGTGGAGACACAAGAGATGAATACCTGCATGTGGTGTGGAGACACAAGAGAGGACTCCCTGCATGTGACGTGGAGACACAAGAGATGAATACCTGCATGTGGTGTGGAGACACAAGAGATGAATACCTGCATGTGGTGTGGAGACACAAGAGATGAATACCTGCATGTGGTGTGGAGACACAAGAGAGGACTCCCTGTATGTGGTGTGGAGACACAAGAGATGAATACCTGCATGTGGTGTGGAGACACAAGAGATGAATACCTGCATGTGGTGTGGAGACCCAAGAGAGGACTCCCTG